CAGCAAGATGAGTGCGTTGGACCGTATTTAAATGGCCCTCTTAAATTTGAGAAGAACCATAAACCGGAAATGGAAGCATTGTCCTTTGGCCTTTAACCTTTGTTTTGTAAACACATTTGCTGTTATCTGTGTATAATCGGTCATACTGGAGACCTAGACCTAGATTCTAGATTACCAAGCTCGACTCATGTTACAAAAAATGGCTAAAGTACTGCTGGTCGGCAGCGGCCTGACCGGTTCAGCCACGGCTGCGTTGTTAAGGCAAAAGCTACCTGAAAATACCAGTATCTCAGTGTGGGATAAAGCCAGAGGAGCAGGTACAGACAGTGCCGTGCCCGCCTGGACCTGACATTCAGTTCACTCATTCTTATTTCAATCAAGTTCAATCAAACTTTGTATTGTTGGTGTAAATTGTCATTCTAGATTTGTTCTGTAACATAAGAGTGGAGTTTGGTGTCATGCAAATCAGATGCACTAGATATATGTGCCCATTGTCTCCATAGAATGTTATAGTTTGAAGTACGGCTGTGGTCAGGCTAGTCGCCTTCAGCCGTTTGTTGCTTTCATTGCTTGTTCCTTCCTGCTCGTTGTTTTCACACTATTATCTGTAGATTGGTGCTCATGGCACATGGATCTGGCAGTTTGAAACCAATCTAGGTTCATGGAGAATTTATGTTTTAATTGTTCTTGTTTTTATTGTCGATTGTTGTGCTTGCACTTTGCTCCTTTCCACTTGCAGTCAGTTCAGTCGAGCCTCTAGATCAATCTAGATCTAGATCTAGAATCTAGATCTAGTTCTAGCAGAATCCATGTCAGGCCTACTTACTCAGTGATTATAGGTTAGCCTAATACTTTTTGACTGTTCCCATATTATCATCATTTCAAGACTAGATCTAGAGGTTCTACAAGTAGAAGTAAGAGGCATGGAATTAGATTCTAGATATCTAGGTCTTGTTTCATTTCATTTGGAGGAATTCTGTAAAAAGTGACCACTATTTAAAAAGGAAGTGGGGATAGGGTTAGAGCAAGATCCCTTCTTTATTTTTGTTTTTGGAGTGGTTGCTCATTACGGTAGTCTTTCCGTTTCTTTTTCTTCTCATGTTGATGAACACCGGCAAAAATATCACAGGAGTGAGGACATCCCTCTACAACATTTAAAATACACAGTGTGACCATGTTCACGGCACCCTGAATCATCCACCATTGGCACAGAGGCACGACTGAAATGCTACGGTCGCTCAAAATCAAAGTGAATGTAAATGAGGAAACAGCACAGGAGTACTCTCGTGAAAAATAATGCAACGGTGGTCCGAATGCAACTGAGTTTAGGGAGGGCGAAGGCGGGCACAGCAAAACAGCTGCAGTCAACAAGAAGGCCTCGCTCGCTCAGCCCACGGAATACGACTTCGATCCTTTTTCCGTGTGTGGACCCGGCAACGCTCGACAATTTGAAAATAAAAGTCGTTCGAAGAAACAAGGGAGAATGGAAGACGGCCAAGACGGGAAGAAGGGTGGGAAGGGGTGAAAAAAAAGAAGCAAAGGGAAAAGGGTATGGGGTGAGGTGAGCAAGATCGTTCTTAATTAATTGCAAACTACATTCAAGGCTCCATGAACATAGCCACTGCGTTTTAAATATAAAACTGATAAATGAGAAACCTAATATAAGTCTAAATTGGTTTTGGGATCAACCTGTTTTTTCCCAATATGGTGCTACCTGTTGTGTAAGGGACCTTACAAGGTTATTGTCCTTCCCTGTTTTAAGGGAGCTACCTCCCGTCACTTAAGGACATGGGCAGTGGTTACTAGTGGGGTGCGTGATAAAGTAGTTGCTGCCCGAGATTCCTGTGGTGAGCAGTTTCTTGTGCTCGTGTCAGTTAGTGAAGTGTTCTGGATTAAAGTGAACCCAAAGTAGACAAACACTACTCTACATTCCTCCTACCCCTACCCCTGCCCAAAGCACATGATATTAAGTTCATAGGTTGAATTTCATAAACTCTTGGGGCTAAAACCGGAGATTGCCATAGTTTTGACAGAAATAACCTCCACTATTATTTGTTATGAGCAGCTCCCCCTTTGTGTGTATGTATACATGTAGATATAATAGTAGAAACTATATATCTTCCCATTCCCCAAGTCTAAATTTTCATAAAACTTTGAATGTATTGCTTTCAATAGAAATTTGTGTTTGTTGGGAAGGAAACTTCTGTTACAAAAAAAGTATAAATATGCGACCGCTCAAGATTATAAATACTTGCCCAGCTTCTCTCAAGTTCATGTTTTAAGAGCAGACATTATAAACTGTACCACTACCAGCACTGTATTAAAAAAAACAAAAAAAACTTACCTTCTACAGTCTCGTTGTTGATGAAATTTTAACTTCTATTACTAAGCTGCCCTTCTTTTTATCAGGTGGTCGCATGTCCACGAGTCGATGTCCAAATGACTCATCAATTACCGTGGACCTTGGTGCTCAGTACATCACACTCACACAGGAGTACAAGGCCAAGAGAAAGAGGTACAGCTCTAACCCTTTCTTCAATATATTTGAGAATTTTATTTTATTTCTGGGATTTTTTTATATTTACAGGGAGGGGAACTACAAATTGTAAGTGGCAGACAATTTTTGCCTCTGTCTTTATCATTTGTAATTAATGTTCCATCAACCTGGCTGTCGAACTTTTGTGTTGTGCTCTGACTCTGACATATTTTCCTTATTTTTAAGTCCAAGGGAGCATAACGGTGAGATTTAGTGTCAGAGAGTGGCAAAAGTACTGGTATAAAGAACTAAACTAAAGAACTGGCTTGTAAGCTAGTTTTGTTCCTGGATGAGTTGATGTTTTAATCTCAAGATGTGAAGTTGTGGATAGAGTTCTTTCTTCATTGTGATTAGTCTTTGTGCTGTAAATTAATTTTTTGTCTTTGATTGTCTTAAACTTCCTCTGCATTCAGTAGAGTAAAAATACACTGACTGCATAAAAAGTAAGGAAAACCAACTTGATCTATCAAAACACGAAATACATAATACACACAAACAATAAAGACAACAAACATACCCAAAAATATCAAATTGGGTTTTCTAGAAGATGACCTCTCTTTGTTAAATGAAAGATTTGTCATATTATAGAGCTGGGCAGGAGTGAGAGAAGCATTGAAGTCTATGAAATATAGACATGTAATGTGAACTGTAAAATTCAGTGAAATAATTAAATTATTTTGATGACCAAGTCCTAATCACTTTAGAAAAACGTCAAGTTCGAGCTTCTTTTTCTCATATGATGGCATGATAGTGGGAAGATAAATTGACCTCATGGGCTGGATGTGGCCTCCTGGGTGTAGTTTGGTGACTCCTGCCTTTTATCTGACACTTAAAGCCCTTGCCATCAGTACACAGGTGGTGTGTAAAACTGCCGGTATGCCTAGCCTCCGGTACAACGGTGAGCTCGATCCTGTCCCCAACCCAGCCTGTCTGGGACAAAATGCGCACGGGAAAACGTGTTCACTAACATAGGACGTTGTTGAATATTTTGAAGATCTCTCTGAATTAGATGCTGGTAATGTTGAAGACTACCCTGGGTGGGATTTAGAATGTGATTCTGATGATCATATAAAAGTAATATATATAACTCAGCAGCTCAGGCAGAGGGGCATAGTAGACTTATGAGTCAAGGGCTCAAAGGGTTAAATGAATGAAAACTTAATTTCAACACACTTCTAATTTACATGAATACTCTTCCTATATTTAGGGATTTGGAAGGTGGGGGGTCCAGACAATCGTAATACTCTATTGTTCAATGCTCAAGATAATGTGTTTCCAGAATCTATTTTATGGCTCTGTGTTATTGTGTCGTATATTGTGACTCAAGAATTGTCCACTTTTGTTCTGATTAGTCTTTCTCTGTCCTCTTTGTTAGCTTGTACGATGAGCTTCAGACACAAGGCATCCTGGCCCCCTTGACAGGACAAATTGAGGGCCCTAACAGTTTTGATCAACCTGGAGCTGAGCATTTTGTGACTCCAAAAGGGAGTTCTTCTCTTGTCAAATTCTTTTTACAGAAAGCAAGTAAGTACCGTCAATCTGACATCATAAAAACTGAAATGTCCAAGGATATTTTATAATAATTTCATAGATAAGTTATTGTCTAAAAAATTAAGCTAACAACTGGAATAATATATTTCACTTTAGAAATGTTAAAACTGTAATAACGTACTTATTTAAAAAAATAATGAATAAAAATTAACAACTTAATAAAATACTTCACTATAATAATATGCTTGACTCCTGACCAGTGCCTTCTGTTTGGTGCACCTTATCTGTTTTAACTTATTATGTTTAGTTTTTGTATTTTTGTAAATAATGTACTTTTGATCAACTAGAATAGTGGAACTGGAAGGAAAATGGTCTTCGTTCTTGAACTTCTCTCACTTTTACTCTATTCTTGCATCTTTTGAATCGTATATATTAAGTGAAGGTTTGCATCAAAGAAATCATAATAATTGTCTTTTTTTTCCCTGGAAGAATATCATTTTCGTCTTCAGATGCATCTATGAAGAATGAGTGTCTAGTGACAGAGGTGTCGTTTAGTGACGGTGGCCAGGTGTCGGTGACTACGAGGGAAGACCTGACCGAAAGCTTTGATGTTGTTGTCATCACAATGCCAGTTCCACAAATCCTGCAGCTCAGAGGATCTATACACGACTGCATAAGTAATTTGTCTCCCTTTCTTATTGTGTAAAATGTAAATACAGCCGAAATCGTCCAAGACGGCCACGCATTGTTGAGGAGAAAAGTGGTTGTCTTAGACTGTTGGACACCTTAAACAGTGTCATTTGTACCGGTGATTGTCTTAGATAGGTGGCCTTTAGAACGGGTTCTACTGTTTTCAACATGCATATGGGCGTGTCAGCAACATTTTTTTCATTTTCTCTCCTCGTCTCTACCTTGGTTTTGGGAATTTTTTTGCAAGCATTTAAATGCCAATTAAACTAACACCAACTTTGATTAGGTAGATTTAAATTAGCACACACACATACACACACACACACACACACACGGACACACTCACACACGGACACACTCATACATGCACTTGTACACTTACAATTACACACACACATTCACCCATACATGTTCAAATGTCTTCTCTTTTTTCTTGTTTGTTACTTTTCAAGTTTCAGAGGAGTAGAGAGATACATGGAAGATTTTGTTTATATTCAAAATGTTCATACAACTGATTTTTATTTTAACTTTTCAGACAGCAACTCAAGTGTGAAGAAAAATCTACAAAATGTTTCCTACTCATCAAGATATGCCTTGGGACTGTTTTTCCCACCTCAGACAAATCTCAAGTACCCTTGGAGTGCCAAGTATATCTCAGACAATCCTTGTGTGCGGTACATCGCTTTGGATCAAGTAAAGAGAGGGACTGGTATGTTGTGCTGTGAAGTAGTAGTGTCATACCCTTATACGTGCAGTTTTTTTTCTTTATGCTGTCTTTTCTTGATAGCTTCAAAAGACATCTTAAACATTTTCTGTTCCTACAGGCCTATCCTTCATAAGCTTTTAACGTTATCTTTCATTATATTTGTTCTTTTCCTATGTCTGAATGAAAATAGTGTGTGTGTGTGTGTGTGTGTGTGTATGTGTGTGTGTGTGCATTAATGTATATTGCTTGAGAAGAAAGGAAGTAGTAAGAAAGGTTTTTGAAAAATGGGTATTCCAATGTAAAGCGCATTAAGCTACTTTTTTTGCAAATGCGCTATATAAATGTTATATATTATTATTATTATGTTATAAATGTTATATATTTTTTCTTTATTGTAATATGCTTATGTTATGAATATTTGTACGCTGCTTGGGACTTTCTTTTATGGAAAGATGATAATGGCTAGTATAATAGTTTTTCACACATGGAAGATGAGTCCTTAATTGAATAGGCTGACTTATTGATATCAATCGGAATGTGATTTAGTGATTTAGAGATTTCTTACCTTCTGGTTTTTTGTTTATCATGAATTGGGATGGGGGGAGGGGGGCAGCTTTTGGTATAAAAGTTAGGGTTACTCAGGTAATTAATTTTCATTTGCTTGATCATATAACAATCACTTCATGATAATGGCACATTTTAGTTGACTATTATTCCTGTGTTTTCTCAGCTGACCCAAACCAAGGCCAGTCGCTAGCTGTTCACACCAATGTCCCGTTTGGACTGGCTCACCTAGAGGAGGACGTGAACTCTGTGAAGGACGAGCTGTTGGCTAACGTGAGGAAAGTTTTACCTGACTTGCCAGAACCGATGTTTGTGAAGCCACAAAAATGGAGATATTCCCAGGTGAGGGGCTTGGCTATGGTGGGAAAAATAGCATTTTTTATAAATTGAACATGAGATTATTTGGATGTGATCAATTCATTGCTCTCTGTTTACGTCTTGTTACCTGTAGGATTGATTTCCTAATTAACACCTTAGTGACTGCATTTCTTTAACGGCACAAAAATAAAGATTTTCATGTCTTCAAAGTGAAAGAAAAGGCTAAAAAAAAACCTTCAAAGATTTGTTAGAGTCTTTCCATCTGCCTTTTATTATTCCTTACGTTGTGCAGTATTATTATATGGCCACTTTAAAATTGTGCCACTGATCGTTTCCCGTTGTGGTAGGCTCTAGCTAGAGAATACTCTGGCTTACAGGTAATTGAATAGATTCCCTTATCTTCTGCGTGCAATTTAATTATGCTTTCCATCATTTTGAAAAACTATGTTTTATCCAACTTCACTTTTAATATATGAGATTAGGAGTTTGTTTCTTCTATACTGTCAGTGACTAGCCTATGTAAAGAAGGAGTTCTTCCTGTGTATTTGTTTTTTACAGCAGAATATGTGCTCGTACTTTGCAGGTCCACAAAGCGTATGAAGGAAGGCCTGGGTGTGTTACTTTGAGCACAAATCCCTTGGTCATTGTTGCTGGTGATGGTTTCTCGGGCTCAACTTTTGATGGATGCTTGGATTCTGCGGAAACAGTCGTGAAAATAATCCAAGAAAATTTACACACTAGTACTTCTAGTGGACTTTGATGAGAAGTGACCGTAGTCGTGCAGTTTTCTGTGACTAGGATGAGGAACTTGCTGTGTATTTTAACAGACAGAAGAGTTCATAGATTTGTGAGCAAAGTATGAAGAATGAATATGGTTTTGATGTGACCTCTCTCGAATGTTGACTCATTGTGTGATATTGGGGTGAAGGTGTTATATCGTATGCTTGACGGAATCTAGAGTACGATGGATCTTTTTGTCTTCTCATATAAAAAAAGGCACTTTAAGCCCCAAAAATATGGAAGAGAAAATTTAAGTGGGACTTGTGAATTTTTTTCTGGAAGTAATGGTTTAAGATTTATACCCCTATCAACACAATTATTTCATTTTGTGTTTTGTACACTTTTGACATGAAAAGTGTGTTGACACTGTTGAAGTAAGTGAAGCTTGAGATAGTGAGAAGGTTCTTGCTAAATGAAACAGGCATTGGAATTCACAGGTCATAGCTGTCACCCCCCAAAAAAAAAGCTTAAATCTGTGTGAACCTACTTTAAAAGGAGAGCAAAAGAATTCAGAGTTACTTACTTTTCTTGTGACTATGACAATACATAGTATCTGTTTGCATTACCCCATGTGATAGAAAAAATGTGTTGGTTGTTAAAGTAAAATTGTGTTAAAATGTATTTGCATGCAGTAACAGTTGTTCTCCAGAGAATAAGCTTAAGTACATGTATATTTGAATATGGACTTATCTGTTATGCTGCTGGCATTAATGCTGGTTTATTTCTACCTCACTGGACTTGCATTTGTGAGGGACGGTTAAAAGCAATGTAATACAAGTGAAGGGATCAGAAAAATAAAGGTATAAGTTATCTTGAGGTCATTATGAGAAATATGTTTTTTTTTAAAAAACAGCTGCACTTTAGCATAATAATGATATACAACAGCGTTTGGGTAATTTGGAAAGGCCATGACTTTGTAAAGTGATCCTGTCATTTCATTCAAATGTCATGTTGTGTAGTCTCCTTTGACGTGAATTGTCATGACGAGAACTTTATTTTTAGCAAAATGTGACTTAACAGTATGACCTCTTCAATTTGTTATCACTCCAGATGTTTTTCATTTTGCAGTGTCCAGTAAACAATGTGTTTTGATGAATTTTAAGTTTCCTTGTTGTACTCTGTAGAGTAAGGAGGTAAGCACAGATTCTGGTGGAGCGATCATTAAACATTTTTTACAGAAGTGTAGTCCATCACATATCGGGATGGTTAGTAAGACTATCCTATTCTGTTTGTTGATGATGATGGCTACCATCGTTCCAGTTCCCCTTGACCTGCAAACTCTCTTGTGTCATACAAAAATCCTTCAAAAGGGAAGCTCAAAGTGAAGTTTGGACAAAGGTAATGAAGTTTCCATTGTTTAAAACTTTTTTTATGGGAAGTCGATTTCTTTTCATTTTTCCGCCTTTCTCCTCTCTCTTCACATTATTTTGAGCACATGTCTGTGTGAGCCTAGGTACAAGTGTAGTGCCTTGATTGTAGAGTGTGAGAAACACACAGCAGTACTTTGTGTGTGACTGCGGCAAGCCCAGACTTGGTATTTTATATCCTGAAAACTGGATTTGTCAAATAATTTGAATCTGAAGTGTTATTGATATATTTTTCTCGCAGAAAATAAAAAAAGAATACATAAATCTTTATTGTTTGATTTAAATCTATCTGGTGGGACAGCACTAACCTTTCTTATTCATGTTTGCCTAAAAAATTGTGTCTTTTGTGTATATGTTTGACATATTCCAGCCAGATCTGTGGAGAGAATGTTGTTGTTTGAGTTGTGGTTGACACGGAGAGCGACTCCTCCCTCCCCTTCCCAAACACCCTTCCTCCCTTCTTTCATGAGGTGCTTGTATGTGTGTGTTAGTGTATGAGTGAGAAAGAGAAGAGAGAAAGATATAATGAAAATTCACTGTATTTACTTTTTAGAAAAGCAAATAACACTAGGCCTAGTACACGTAATTGTGTTTCATTTGGATTTCTAGGGTCTGAGATCACAGTCTCATTATTACTTTGTAATGTTTTTTTCTTGAGTTAAAAAAGTTACAATGAGAATTTACCCTATTGTTAGAATGGCTTTAATAGTTAATCTCAACAGAAATTATTTAACAATGTCTTCCTTTAAAACTACTGTGGCTGTGGCCCTGAGAGGCCTCAGCTATTCGTGGTGAACTCCCTCAGTAGCGTAGCCATGAGGTGGTGACACTCCCCCAGAAGGCCAAGTACGAAGGGATCCACATCATGGCCTTTCCCCCAAGTGCATGTACCAAGGCCAAGCTGCAGCTTTTAGACTAATGTGTCTTTTTCCCGTTCAAATCAGCATAAGTGGGTGGTTGGCGGATGCTTGACTGGTGTGGTGTGCTTCTTCTCTCCTATCAAACATCTATCTTCTTTATCTCCCCTCCTTCTTTTTTGTGTTTGTTACTCTCTTGTAACAGTCTAGTCTTCGGCATTTTTATATGACCTTATTGTGTTACAAGTGCCGTAAAACAATAACGTAAAAAAAAAAAAATTCGGCATACATCCTGCGCTGTAAGGAGTACATGTCCGAGGGCCCCAGCAGAAACATAACCAAGGACAGTTGGACACCTGTTTTGACATGCCTGGGAGGCAGCATTTACTATAAAACATCACATCAACCTTTCGGAGCACCAGCATCCATCCGCTAAACAAAGCTCATCCTGAGCCAAGGGGACTACAGGCCATCAGAGACAACTAGAGAGGAGTTACACCCCATAGGTCACCGTTTCCTCCCCATTTTTCGCTGAGCGTTTCCTGGGTGAATCAATGGGCATAATTGTCTGTGAGGAGGATCAAGTTGAAGCTCCATGACCATGGTTGACGAAGAGCCACCCAAGCTCTTGGAAACAGAAGACTATGTCCCCGTGGGATATCAGGAGATGTATATATACCCCCACAAAAGGACCTCATCCAACATGCCATGTCTGTATGTGGTATTGATGAAGAGACATGCTCTTAGCCAGGTGGTGCTGAAGTGGAAGAGGTCATCAACTCCATCTTCGACCTCCCAAACTAACTGCTGACTAAACGTCTTTTTTCATTTTGGCACCAAAATGTTTTATTTGCTAAATTGAAAGCCTGATCAGTTACCCTACTACTACTAGTCTTTAAAAAATCAAGTTGAAACTGTGACTAGTTTTTTAAAAAGATTAGAATTAAAATTTCGGAATGACTCTATTTTTAAATGGTTACGCTGGCAAAAAAAACTTTTTCTCAAAATTGCATTGAATAGAAAAAGGCGTTTTGTCAGCTTACGGCAGAGTTCTCCAAGAGAGCCCTGTAAATGGGCTGACTTATCAATGCCATGCTCATTCTGTGCCGAAACAACATAGGCGGAACTGCTGCTTTTTATTTCTTCATCCTTACGGTCATCAATTTTCCTCTACTTCTTTTGTATGTTTGTCACTCTCTTGTGAGCTGCTATTTCCGGGGTGCTTTGATAGTCGAAGCAACTTTGTGCTGTTGAGGCTAGAGAGGTGAACAGAGAAAGCCTGATTTCCTGTTTGGACTTGTCTGTTGACATCCACCCATTGGCGCTCATATGACCTTATGCAGGAGTGCCGTAAAACCTTACTAAAACAAAACAAAAACAACCCAAAACACCATTAGCTCAGTTGGTATCATGCTGGCAAACAGTGTATAGCCTAGTTTGAGTTCACAATGGAAATAAGGGGCGTTCTGAACAAGGAACTTGAGTTGCCTTATGGAGTTTTTAAGGCTGTCCACCTGTCAGTTGTGTCAGGCTATTTTATTCTATCAGAGATGGACGTTCAAAATTCGGAGGTCCTGACTCGTAAACATCAGTGTTGAAAGAGACATTAAACTTATACTTAGGCCTATACCCTACAATTCAATAAAAATAAGACTGTTTGATTTGCTTATTAAATCACAGCAAGAAGCTGTACGCTCTTATTAACACTTTACAGTCACACAGCCAGCAGTCCAAAATACCCCATCTGGTCACCCAGGCAGGAGAGTGACTGCATTGGACTTCTCAAATCTGGCGCAGAATTAACAAATGGGGGGACATTCAAACCCATGCTGTGTGAGGCAAGCCAAGAGTGAAAGGTTTGATTTAAAAGCTTAGCTCTAAACTAAGCTTATTAAAAATAAAAGTGGACTAGCCTAAAATTAGTCAGATGTAAACTTTTTCAGACCCTACCCTATCAATTCAATAAGTGTTCTGAGTCATCTGAGCCTGTCATATTTCCCCACCTGGGTGTCTGAAGTGTCTGTGTGTGTGTAATAATGCCCTGGATGCGTATGTCCTGTCGTATTTAGCCACATGTCCGTCACTTTCTTCCTCCAGAGGTTTAAATTTAAAGACTATATAAATCAAATAAACAGGCTCTTTTCAACCTGAATCTAAACCACTTTTTTTTTGCCTTTTTAGTAACAATGTTACTAACATGAAGCAGTTTGGGGTGGCTCTTTTGGTTTCATCTTGCCAAACACGAAGACACAAGGAGGCAGCCGTGGTGAACAGTCTTCTGGCTGTGGCAAAGGGCGTCATAATATCAAGTATTACCCCAACAGCCACATTTTGTGGTCAACTAATCAGGAGAATAGAATTGAAAAAAAAATAGAAGTGACAAACAGAACTCTCAAAACGACGAACTGCTAATTAGGTTATAAAATCTTTTCTTACTTTAAACTGACTTCACTGGGTTTGAATTTCCACGTCTTTACCATTTCAACACAAGGAAGGAGGGTTATCTGATGAGCTGAACCTCCACACAATGTTTACCATCAAAAGGACAGGATTCAAACATGCCTGGTCAGGAATTTGATCCAAAGTGGTCTGTCCAGAACATTCTCTCCCACAAGTGTAAAGCATAATGCTCTTTCAGCGGCCGTATGGTCATAGTCCGACAATAGCCTCAACTTGCACAGGCATCTTGGGAAGTAGCTAGCTATATTTTCAAGAAGACATAAGTACAGCCAGGTTTGTTGAAGACTACCACCTCTTGTCAAGGATAGAAGTGGATGTCTTAGACAGGTGGATGTTTTGGACATATTTTCGCAATTATAAAAAATACATGCTTTTTTTCCTGATTAAGTTCTGAAAAAAAATTTCTTTTTTCATTTACCATACTATAAAGTCTGAACTTCATCCACGTTTTCACTTCTTTTTATACTACTCTTCATCAATATAATTGTAATAATGCTTGCACTCACTAATCCCAACAAACAGTCTGTTATAATAAAGTATCAGAAAAATTCTACCAACTCAACATCAGTTTGGTAAGCATTAATAATTTATTTAACATAGTGTCAATGGTGACAGGTAACATACATTGTATCATGAGTTAATTCAGTCAATATAATACATGACGACAATTCAGCCCATCTTTCTCTATTGCCCGGCAGCGTGAGGTCCGACAGTGAAGTGATTGCTCTCAGTGGACAACAAACGACAGTGAGGAACCCAGCTGGAGGGAGCCGGGTACCACAAACATTTCACCACCACATGTAGCATCAACATGACATAAAACCAATACTTCGTAACATTTCTCTAACACAAATGGAATTCTGAAGAAATCAGGGCTCACTCCGTCCCTGGAGAAATCAAATTAATTGTACAAAATGTTTGCACAAAGTCAGTCAGCATACTAAAGATGAATACAACACACAATTTTGTTTCAATCACTACAAATCAAAAGGGATTTTGCTCTTGATTTCACCTTAAGTTTTGACAGTCACAACTGACAGAGTGGGTGGTTGGCAGCTGCTCTCGTGTGGTTTGCTTCTTCTTTCCTATCAAATATCCATTTTCTTACTTATCTCCTGTCCGTTTTTGTTACTCTCTTATAGCACCTCTAATCTTCGGCACTTATATGACCTCATTGTGTTGCAAGTGCCGTAAAACTCATCCTAAAACTGAAAAACAACTAACAGATCATCTGTTTTTCAAAAACATCCCATCATTGCATTAGCTCGCAATATGTACCCACATCTTCACTGCCACACCCAATTACAAACATCTTTTCCAATGTCGCTCTAGAAAAGGGCACAAACCGTTCAATATCCACGGAGATGTTACAACAATGACATAGTACTAGCCCTCAAGGTTTCTAGTAGTAGTAGTATAGGGTTTGGGTCAACATGAGGAGCAAAGATGGCAGACTTGAATGTGATTTAACATGTGAGTCAACACAAGCCCCTGTGACTAGGGAACAATATGGGTCATATATATATATATATGTACACGGATATTCTCAAAGTGAATCCAACACCACATTCCTACATTGAAAAAATTTAGAGACCGTAAGCAAGCTGCTCAAATTATGCTGTAAGTCGAGAAATCAAAATTTTTCAGGGCGGAGAAAAAAACTGTTTCGATCTTTTAAAAAATTGTACCTGCTCTCAGTAACTTTTTTTGCCTTTTTCAAAATTTAGATTTTGAATTTTGACAAAATGTTTCTGGAGTACATGTAACTGATACTACAGATTAATAAACTGTGATAATTTTTTCTTTTTAAATTTAAATTGGGGGCAAAGTACATCTGAACATCTGGCAGACGATACGTAGTCTGAGACTGACACTGACAATACAACAAGATTTGTGGAATGTGCACGTGAGTGTATGTGCAGACAGACATAACAGGGGAACAGTTGAGACAAACCAGAAGAAAAGAAGGAAATTTAGCCCGATAAAATCTCTCAGCAAAGCCACAGACAAAACTTACAACAGCGTTTTATCACCTCTATCAGAACCTTAAGTCCTTTAGAATTCATACTCGTGTCACCAGCACAAGTACCAGCAATGGACTTCAGGGGGGTTTTTTCCCCGAGGGACTTCATTGTTGTGAAAATGAAATCAAGTTCCAATCTTCCTGCTCTTACTGCTTGAGTTATGCTCATTTATACTACCAATTAACAAGAACAATGTTCAACATTTCACTTCTACATTAGAACTTTATATCCCATCAATAACTAAATGATATTAAAGCTTTTGTAAGATTTAAAATGGAGAAAATACTAGTTTCTGAAATCATTTGTTGTCTGATCACAACTACATGTTTACATGAAGCAAGAGTCATCATTTCATAATGGGCCTTTTAGATAAAAATGCCTTCTTTTTTTTTTTTACTTCCGTACGAGATGCATCATAGTCATAGTAGTGAAATTAGGCGCTCTTCAAAATAATGAAATTGAAAAAAAAAAAATTAGTACTTTTCCGCCGGTTTGGAAATTTTATTAGAATTTTGGCTCAATTATACAATACCTTTAATGTCCATTTAAAAACATCTCTATGTCGATTTTTTTTTTATAGTAGAGGGTTTTACGGCGCTATACGTGGATTTTACTGAAAAATGTTGATTAGAGGGACAAAAAATGTAAATTTTCAGTTTGCAAGGTACGGAAATCATTAAATGATGACGGTCATTTACTCGCTTATTTTTACCTCTGAAAAAAGGCGACCCTGGCATCCTTCAATCACAAATATCTTGACTCCTGTTCAAGATAGATGCGTATTCTTTTCATCAAAAGTAAGATAATCGAAACCATTGCATTGCTTTATTTACACTGTTGATATGCAATAGGACAAACAAATATGTCCAACATTCCTTTCTTCAGACTAGCACAGAGGGCTTTTACTACTTCCATGAGTCAACAAAAAAGAAACCAACAAATAAGGATATGAAGAACTGCAAGAACATTTTCGAGTACTAGCTTTCAGACAAAACAACATCAAACTAGCTTATACTGCATAAAAAAGACATCATTTGTAGTTGAGAATCACTCTTAAAAGATACGATACAAAAGCCAAACCACCTACTAGATGTCGAAGAGCTTCATGGTACAATCATGACCTCATTTTTCCACGTTCCAAACTGTCAGGACAAGGCAATGGCAATACAAATGAAGGGGGGTCAAGTAAAATGCAGGATACGTCCATGAAAAAATTAGGGTACTCACCCCCAACTTACAACAGTATCCTTACGAAATCAATCCTGAGAAAAAACCAACTTCATTCCCCAACTGTATTTCATACCTATAACCCAGTTAAAAATAAGCTGAGTTCATCAAAAAAAAAAGAAGTAAAACGGGTTACCGTATGTCATGGTAGGATCAATGTGACTGTGCCTGTTCTTCACTTGACCCTTCCACAAACGTACTCCAAAATTGTCTTGTACAAATGCATAACAAGTTACAAACCAAAACCATAATGCAAATGAGAATACAATCTTACTGGCCTATGCTGACAAAATGCAAGGTGCTTTTTTTTTTTTTAAACATTTCATTTTGGAACCATTCACGTACAATGTTCTCTCCCCATTTCATTAGCACTAAGGAGTAATACATTTCCCTTATACGGTACACAGAAGGGCTGAAATAAAACTTCCAAACATTTCCCCTGTAATAAACCAATAAAGCTTGCACATCCTATGCCTCATTCAATAGGCTGCCAGCCTTTGGCACAGTGGTACTTTGTAGGTTTTTTTTAACAAAGGTTTTCACTGAAAAAATATATTATAAAAATATCAATTACGTCACATATCAAAACGATTTTATACTAAAAATAACCCCAAAAAACCCCATTGCCTTCCTTGTACCCTGGCGACATAATAAGGATAACCCTCCTCGTGTGAACTCAAATTCAAGAATGAAAGTTGCACATCGACACTGCCATTTAAACAGATTTAAGAGAACATTTTCATTAGTAAAGTATCACAGACATTCATGTACACGTTTAAAAGAATCAACAATACTCCATGAAAAGACCAGCATGGTAATTTAAGTGTTTGACAACAAGAATATGATTATTTGAGTTGAGTTCAGTGCCAGCTGTGCTACAAAGCAGGTGAGTCAAGAGGAGGGGGATGGATGGGGGGGGCTATCAGTCAAAGAATTATCATTATCATCCGTTTTAGCCCAAAATTAATAATTCGTTATCAACAACATAAAAAAGGGGAACCTAAAAACGCTCCAAGCAACGAAAGTTTAGAAAAAACACAAGCAGGGATCAAAACTCGGGGAGTCCACATTGTACGCTTGAAGTAACAATGCAGTCAACATGACTTGGCAAAAAGACCCAAGGAAATAAATAAAAATCCAGACTTGTGTCAAAATGTCTTTTCTAAAAAGTTACCCTCACTTTCACACTCTCTGCCCCACCCATTCTTCCTCCATAACTCACAAATAAAAGAAAAGACAAAGTAAGTTTGCTTTCCTTCCTTAGTTCAAAGTCACCTTGTCTTTTATATATAACCTAAGTCAGTAGCAAAGTCAATGATTAATGAAACCTTTCAGGAAATAATTGAAGATACCCCAATGTTCCTAAATTCCTCAATATATCTACAAGCACTCTCTAATTCCACAATGTAAAGTGAGAGGGGATGGGATAGCCTTCAATCTATAAATCACATTAATTAATAATGGATGTTTACATATATTGATTTTCAAACCCCTGACAAGTTGACCATTCTATTGCTTGCCATTACATTCATTCACACCCCCGTGTTTTTACAGGATATTTACAGGAAAAAATGGCGCATTTTACTATGGGCTAACGTCCATCAGGTCATGACTCAGAATATCAGATAGGAAAAGATTTGCATGAGATTAGAGACTTTTCAACAAGCAAATGAATTTGTAAATCTTCTTCCTTTTACAGAATTTTCATAAAAATCACTGGTACAGCCATTGACTACCGTAATTAAAAAAAGAATTCCATTGATACGACTCAAGAGACTCAAGAGCAAAACTGTTAGCCTAATCCCTACGACTTGACTTCACAACCCTAGTAAATGCAGGATAGCTTATCGTATTCTATACAAAAATTTAAAAAGTGCATAACTTAAAACAACAAAGCAGTTATCTAGCCTTCATTAAAACAGAAGCTGCAGCTACTTATGTTCTACGTTGACTTATTGTATTCACTCATTACCAAACTCACTATGGTGCTACATAAAAATGAAACGGTAGTCAGCAACAAAAATCAGTCTTTTTAATGACAAAGATATAGACGTAGAAGCTGTTATTCTTTCCTGAAATTGAAATATACCCCTGAGATAAAATCAGTCTACACAGAAGCAAGAACACCAAATGTTGATATGTAATAATGGCAATGGTCAACAACACTAGTATTCTCCTTGTACAAAAATGTGTCTGGTAAAAAATTGTGAGACCTTGAAGGTGAGACAAGCAATGTGTCAGATAACTGCCGAAGCAGCATCTTTGACTGGTATTAAAATATATAACAAATACATGTACCAACAATGTCTGGCACAAACAAGCTACATCTCGACTGCTCAGGGGAAGACATCGTCATACGTCACTTTTCAAAATGTCAAATGGCAGAGTCTAACAAAAACTATTTGATCTGGGGTTCTTTACAAAATGTTGCTGCTTACCATAATTTTACGGTTGTCTAGTACTTGAGGAAGCAGTATTACCCAACAGCGCAGCGGAAGTCTGAAAAATAGCTCTCGAATTCCAAGTGAAGAGAAGAGAAGAGAATCTTGTGCATTGTTTTAGGATTTGTCGTTTTGCCGCAGACACCATTGTTAAATGACGTTTTCCTTTATATTTTTTTGTTCGTAAGATGTCAAGAAAATATCGCCAGTGTCGCAAGCAATCCACTTGAGTCCATTTGGGTACTTTTTACACTAGAGATAAAAATCTAGTTTTTGTTGTGTTGTTTTTTTTAAAGTTTTAGTAGAGGTTTTACAGCGCTCACAACTGCATAAGGTCATTTGAGCGCCAGAAGAATAGAGGTATTACAAGAGAGTAACAAACATAAAAAAGAAGAACGAGAGATAAGGACGATAGATGTTTGATAGGAAAGAAGAAGCAAACCACATTAGAGCACCCGCCAACCACCCACGTTGTGTTGTTTCTATAAGGAATCATGAAAAGCAAGAAAATTGTAAGCTTGACCATAGCATTAAATTGCATTTTGGTGATGTAGAAAGATGCATCTTTGACAGAGGTTAAGGAAGTAGTAAAAATCGAAAATTCTCAAAATTTGGAATTAAGTGGATTGTTTGCGACAGTGACGATACGTAAAGACTACATGGTCTCTCCTGATGTATTACAGTGAACGACAACATCAACTTTAACGATACTCAAAACTTTGATGAAACAGACCCACATTTCAGTCAGTTGTTATCAGATGAACTTGTATGAGGAATGAAGACGTGACAGTACAGCGCAGTGACTATGCATGTTGAGTAGATGGTGCAACACAAGTGAGAACAAACACTCAACACATCTCATGGAATGCTACTCCACACAAAATGGTTCATACAACATAAACAAAACAACATGAGGCTATTGAGAGAATTTGGTGTCATGACTTTTTCCTCACAATGAACATTATCAGCAGTACCTTCATGATTTTTAAATAGTCTCCTTTTCAACATTAAGAATCATTTCAATTCTAACATGAAATGCATTACAGTTGACACTTATACACTCAAGGAACAAAAAGACCATAACACTTCAGTAAATGTGTAAGGAAATTAAAGCAAACGGAAAATCTTATCTCCACATTGATTTCATCTCTTGTACAATTTCCCAAGTTCATGAAACCGAAGTTTCAGCACGCTTAATACTGTTCATTTCATTTGGCGTGTATATTATTCTAAGACCCTGTTCTTATTCCACTGTTGCAAGACGGAAGGTGAAACTAATTTTCTTTTGACATTTAGAATACATTCTGCCTATAAGTTTGAAGAGGCACACTTTACGTTCAAAGAAATTATTTTTAATATTGTATAAAAAAAAACTTTCAGCAACTGGAGAAAACATAAAAACATAAAAAACTTACATATTACTTTTGAAAACGAATGCTACCATCAAAATGAGCCATGAAAATTCATATTACAAGTCACAATACTAAATGGTCATGAAACACACCACAGCAGATTTTAAAAATAAAATCAAACCTTTTGAGTGTACAGAAATGAGACTAGTGTGAAGTAGGTCCAACAGTTGGCATCTGAATGAAATAATTCCTTGTTTACAGCAACACTTCTTCCTATCATTCTCTAAGTCAAACAAAGCCACAAAAACAAAAATTAAAATTAAACAAAACAGTAGGATACATTGGTTCTCTACACTGATTCCCTTCCTTCGATGAAAGAAAAGTATACACACTCAAAACCAGTGAAATAACTTTGAACAATACTAACTAAGACTTCAGTTTTCCTACACAGTGTGTGCAAATGGAAGTAGATATTGCACAATACATTGATCCCTAAAACAGAAAGTGAAATGTGGCGCAATTCAGAAAAAGGACATCCAACTAGCAAAACAAACTAAAACCAACGAAAAGACAACTTGAAATGTCAGAAAAAGACGGTAGTGGTCAAAATTCATGAGTAACAGGTCAAAGTGGTCAAATAGTCAATAGTAGCAAATCACCTACAGTATACCTATAAAAATAAAGCATTAACGAGACATAAGATAATCAAACTTTGTCCAAATTAAAGAAGCAAATACAATGACAAATGAACAGCAAACAAGAACAGACCTTAAATAAAGAACAGGATCTGACTGCCACTATCACAAATGAAGACTTTTTTGTTGTAACATTTTGGAATGCAAATACAACAATAACCCAAGCTCAAAAGCCAATATTAAAAGTCTCTAGGTCAAGAGTTTACATTTTCTAATGGCTTTAATCCCACTGAAATTTTGTTAATTTCCTAAATCAAAATATCATTATCAAGCTCCTGAATAGTTCAATTTTGAACCAAGTAAGAGAAGAATTGAATGAGAAGAAAATAGTATCTGAATATAAACTAAAACAATCTTTTTACAAAAAATCTGAAAAAAGACCTGGTGCTGAATATTTGAAGTGAAAATCTCTGGCAAAAGATCTATCCCAAACAAAAGAAATTCAGATCTGATGAAATAACAAACAAAAAAATTCCAGAAAGGCAGACAAAGATTTCAGCTTGATAATTTGCCAGTCTAAACAATCCTCATCCTAAGGGGAAACTGAAAAAACGGGTGAACAATTTTTGACAGAGAGATGGAAACACTGCTGCAGCAAAATACAGGAACCTCATTCATGACAAAGAAACATCTGCAACATGGCTTTGTTTATACATCTCATTGTATTGAAACAAATACCAAACTAACACCAACAAAATTTTTAATTTTTTAAAGACAACTACATAGGCGGACTAAAAGAATCTGATAAGCGATTCCTTTTCAGAGAAACAGTTTTTTTCTCTCAAGGTCAAAAGAGCGACCCAGCTTTTGGCAGGAAACCTTTATAATAAAAATAAATTAAAATAAAAAAACCAACATATGAAGCAATGTGTTTATTTTACCACTTACATCTACAACTTTTCAAGGTCTTCTCTCTTTCACTTAGTAGTATCATATTACCTGTGAGATCTGGTTGTACAAAAACTGAAATGTAGATAGCATGGTGGAAATATTAAGTATACATTTCCTTCTCAGTTGTGGTAAAGAATAAGTTATGTAACAACATCTGCTTTTTAGAATCTTTTGACACAATCTACATTAGGCTTGGGCGAGCGCATTCAAGTGCAGGCTAGATTAAGTGATTCCAAATATCGCAAGAGTCAAATCATGAAAAATTGGATGAAAGTTGTCAAAATGCCTCAGCTTTCAAAAATGAAAATAAAACTGATGCTATAGCATATGTCACTCAAGAACATTTCATGAGGTCTGCATCCAATTAGTCTCGAAACTATTTGATTTTAATTTTCAAGACGGACAGTTTTGTTCTTTATTAATTATCACCTTACTGTGAGCCACGTTCATTATTAATTACTGGGTAAACCCACGGGCTAGACTGAAACTTCTTGCGGGCCAGCCGTAGTTTGATCAGCCCTGCCTGATCTACATCGTGTCAAACACTACCCAACAATGACCTGTTAAACTCCTTCAGAATAAGACTGAACAAATAATGTGCTGAAAACACAAACCAACCATACTGAAAACGACAATTGTCTAAAGACAGCAGTGACCTACAGTTGACCATTGCCTTGATACAGGCAATTAAAACAGACAGTGACTGTATATCATTTTCAAAAGAAACAAAAAGTTCTTACATTTCAGTAACTATTAACAGTGTAGGTAACTCATTGCCCACACACCTATTCGGCTCAGGCAAAACACAGGAATTTACTGTATTTCAAGACAAATGCCATGGGCTGGAAAAGTCATACACAATGTATCATGGTACATCATAATAAACATCAGTATCTATCTCTGTTCAAAGTCATGGAGAGGACTGAAGCTCCATTATAATCTATCAAAAGAGTTACTTCATCACACCTTTTTAGGGGAGGAAAACAGTCTTGATTTTGCCGAAATTGAAATGATAAAGGTTGTAATAAAAATGACGAGAAACAATTTTTCTTTAAAATTATCTATGAATTAATAAAATTAATTATAAACAAGTGGTTAAAAATTATTTTTCAGATTACTTTCCCTCACAGCATGGGAACAAAATTTCTCGGTTTGCTGCACCATATAATGTGGCACAAGGGAAACGAATTAAAAATTGTCTATGACAGGAAAAAAAATTAAGTCAAAAATAAATTTGAAGAAAATCTTTGTGATAGATCATCATTCAAATAATCTGCCTTTATTTCCAATAATTAATAGTGTCGCCATGGCAGAAAAATTTCTGGCACTTGTAAATTCAACAGACATCTGAATCAACAGGTCAACAGGAACTGTCTCGTCTCTCACTCCGAGAGTCTGAAAGTAGCTCCGATAGTAGAGCAGCAAAAAACTGGTAGGAAAGACTTCACAACAGCTGATTTATTCAGTGGTCGGAAAACAAAACAGTCTCATATGTACAGCATGCACAAGTGATAACAGTGGTCAACAGAGTTCATTAACTCTCTCTGTGCCAAGCATCTATATACACCCTCATTTTTCTTCAGACCAAATGAACGGGCGCAGATAAATCAAGGCACAAAAAGAGTTAATCTGCCTAAAGGGTATTCTTCCTTTTCAGATACATGATGCCAATTCTAAAGTCTCAGCCTTCAGTATACATATTTACCTCTCAGGAAGGGAGAGAATATGAGAAAAATGGTGATAAAGAACATGATGTATGATGGAAAGAATGAATGAAAAATTCTCAAGTTACTCTTGATGCTTCAACACCAGGGCCTCCATCAGCCGTAACCTCGCTTTCACTTTCTGAAAAGTACACAGAAAACAAAATTTACACTCAGACCTGCTCCGACTACCACCTGTCAAAAAGCAATCACCTGTACAAACGACCACTTTCCAGTTTGCCCCCTTGTCTCTTTTTAAAGATTATCATGACACTGTCAAAGATGTCAGTTAACCAACACAATGTACATTAAAACAGTAGTACAGTGAGAAAATGAGGCTAAAACAGCACCTGGACATGGATGGCTGGTGCCTCTATAAAAATAAATCATTGATGGTCAGGTCAGGACAGTGAAAAACATTTCAATGTTTCGTTGAAGGCAACTTTAAGTGAAAACCCTCTGTATTTCCAAGGAATTGAAAATTTCTAGCCCAAGCCATTTAAAAAAGATGTTATCTATCCCCATCTAGTCCAGTATGAAACACTTTTTTTCCTGTTCAGTCATAGAAAATGTCAAACTGGGACAAAAAGGTATTATCTTCTAATTATCTTATCTACGACTGAGGTCAGAAAAGAAGCATCAACATCTACAGTTCTCAACACAACTGCGTGAACGAAGGAAAAAGATACTCACTTTATATTCGCTGTACTCTTTGTGTAAAGGATGCCTATCTTCCTTTTGAACTTTCCTGTAGATGAGAGGAAAAAAACGAAATACATAGTTTACCATTCTCAGGACAAAAAAAAGGGATAAAACCGGCAAAGAGATATGTTGAATGAGTATTACAAGTACATATAAGTAATTTTCTATTAAGCGCTATACCAAGCATTCACAGAACAAAGGTTGAATCACATTTATACTTATGTCCACCACAGTCACACAATCCCCCATTCCCAATGTTTTGCTACCACCATTATTGATCAAATTCATCCAAATCAGACACACGACATATTAAAATAAAAAATGTCATGACTGTAATACTAGGACAACACAAATTTGCATTAGCAACATGAATCAAACAAAACACTGCCAAGGAATTCAATTAATTACCTTCCATTCCTTTCAACAAAACTCTCTTCAAATTCCTTCAAACAACGCCGCAACTTTTTCTTCTGTACTCTTGAGGACTCAATCTCAACATGAAGTTCTGACCTGGAGAAGAAAATACAAACCAGAATCAAATTATGTCTGCTTAGCGTGATTGCACTGTAAGTGATATATCTTCATAGTAGAGCCGATCAGATGTAACAACGCTTTTATACCCCGGAACTCCAAATGTAGCTGGAATATCCCTTTATTAAACAAATATTCCAATAATCCTGCTAACCTTGTGCCAACAGCTGAATTTCACGTGACAGGAGAGGATGCAGGAATAGAAGAAAAATATTTTATTAGTGTAAAAGAAAAATAAGTTTCCCAACAACAACTGAAATGTCTCAACAAGGCAGACAGAAGTGGTAGAGTACAGTCCAACCTGCTCTAACAGTCATCTGTCTTACACTACAAATGGCCAATTAAAAAAAACAATTATAATGAAACTGTCCAAGATGTCCACCTGTATAAGACAACCACTTTTTCCCTCGATAAAGGGTATCCATCTTGGACATTTTCAACTGTATATAAACTTTCTTGCCAAAGAATAAAAGTCTGCAAAAATAACTCTTCCTTTTCTTCTCACTCTATGCTCTCCTGAAAAACTGAGGGCTAACAAAAAGTGCCTTCTTCAACCCACTAGCAAAGATTTTTTCCCCAAAAAAAATAAAAAGAGGAGAACTTCATTTTTAAAAAAACAAAAAAAACCCAACAAAACAAACTTACAAGGAAAGCTCATGAAGGTGAGCATCTCCTCCCGAGTCCTCCGCCTCCTCCGAGCCCCCTCCTCCTCCTCCTCCTGGCTGTTGCATACCCTCATCGTTGACATTGCTGTAGGAAGACCTTTGTTGAGGAAAGCCCAGGTCTCGGAGCACGGTCAGATCTCTGGTGACCAGGCCAAAATCTGACGTGCCAAAGTCGGGCGTGCTCGGACCGTCCTCGTCCGGATCGGCAGTGGGGATGTGGATGGTATTTCTCTGGAAGCAAAGCAGTTTTTCTTTGTGAAATACAAAGTGGAAGTAACACCCCCAAAGCAGATACTAATTCGATATGCAGTCGAACCTGCCCTTATAGCCATCTTTTTAAGACAATCACCTGTGCAAACTTAAGTACTTCCCTACCAGAGCAGTGTTACTGACTGAAGTGTCTTTCGGCCATTCCCAAAGGGGGGATATTAACATGCTCTTATGAACAGTAGAATTGTAAATGGGCTGATTTATCAATGTCAGGCTCATACTGTGCAGGAACAGCCTAGGGGGAACTGCTGCTTTTTCTTTCCTCATCTTTACTATTGTAATTTTTTCCTCTACTTCTTTTGTATGTTTGTCACTCTCTTGTGAACTGGTATTTCCGGGGTGCCTTGATAGTCGAAGCAGACTTTGTGCTGTTGAGGCTAGAGAGGTGAGCAGAGTAAGCCAAATTCCCCGTTTGAACTTCTCTGTTGACATCCCCCCCTTGGCACTCATACAACCTTATGCAGTTGCGAGTGCCGTAAAACCTTACTAAAACTAAAACAAACTACTTCCCACTAAATCTCCCCCCCCCCCCCCCCCCCAAAAAAAAGTTATTGTTATAATGACACCGTTCAAGACTTCCAACTGTCTAAGATAACTATTTTTCTCTTTGACAATGGATGGCCATCCAGGACAATTTCGACTACAAACTGAATAAAGCTTTGTCGCAACATTAAGTAACAAACCGCAATAACTTCTCCCTTTTTCCGCTCATTGAAAAAGAACCCCAACATTACAACCAAAAGGCCATTGAAAACAAGCAAGTAATTCATGGTTATCTTTCATTCTGTAGATAGTACTGAGATATCCATATAAGCCAATAAAAATGTTAGAACATTTATATGTCCCAAAAAGTATGATGCCTTGCTCCCCACCAAGAACTTATATTCAACCTCTTCAATGCGCTTGAAAATTAACAGCGAATCAACTGCTTACTGAGATACTCTGCCATATGCCGTTTTGAAAAGTGATACATTACGGAGTCTTACAATAAGCAGTCGAAATGTACTCAGTACCAAAACAAAATTACCATGTACGGGATTCACATTCTTCTGATGTAAAGAACGAACACCCTATAAACTAAAACAACCTACTTCTGTTCTAGAAATGCATTCTAAAAAGTGTAATGTGAAAAAAAAAAATAATAAGACATATATTTTAATAATGATGCAATCCAAATGTCCAGGGTCTTTGAAGCATTTGGTCAGCTAGCTGTTCAGAAGTACTACGCCAAAAATTGTGACAATTTCTTAATCTGTGGTATTGGTTGAATGTTCTCAAGAAATATTTTGTCGAAATTTAAATCATTAATGTTGAGAGAAGCAATCAAAGATACACATAAGGGTGGGACAATTTTCACAAGAATGAAACAGTTTTTCCTCTCTCCTGAAAAATTGTGCTTCCTGGGCTAATAACGGTGGAACAGCTTGCCAATGATTTATAAAGCTCACGTGAGGGGGTTCCAGAGTGAGGGGACAGATTTCCACAATAGCATAAAATGCAAAAGAAGAATAGGGAGCAGTGATTATTTGCATTCACAAGAATTAACATGACAATGAAATGTGGCAGTACATTGAAGGTGCCACAGCTTTCTTTACCACTTTCAAACACTGAGGATCTTTGGACTAGTGCTTGTCAACGTGGGTGATATCGTCCACTAGTGGGCCATTTGGTAATTTTGGTGGGGATACCCGTGTAGCGAAAGTATGCTCTGCTGGATATACAGTCAAACCTGCTTTAACGGCCACCTGTATAAGATAGTCACCTGTACAAACAGCCACTTCCCATTTCACCTTTGCAAATTTTTACGTTATAATGATGCTGTGTAAAGATGTCTACCTGTTGAAGACAACCGCTTTTCTCGAAAATGGGGGACAAATTAGTATTGTTCCATACAAAAAGTTTAGAGTCTTAAAGGTAGTTAAAAATGGGCACTGGTTATAAAAAGGTTGAAAAGCGCGCTTTTAAACTGTTATGTTAAATGACATTGGTATTAGGCATGGAACTTACAGGATACGTAACAGGAATTTCAATCATCTGATCTTCCGGCACCGTTTGCAGTTCAAGGGAATTGCGAGGCTGGGGATGAAAAATGTTAGTGTGCTAAATTTCTACATAATATGTAACAGTGTTATTCATTATTAACTCTTTCACTGTCTTGTTCTGTGAATTTTTTTTCACTATCTTCTGTCCTCATCGTGCCAAATCTTCAGAAGCCTGCATCTATTACCTATTCTCCAACCCGACTGCTAAGTCCTTCTCCTTTCTCAGGGCCATGTTCCATCTTCACATTCTAAAGAATCTGACTGATGTGTTTCTTTCGTAATAAGCTACAATTTATGAGGACTCTTGATTTGATAGCTAATCCTTACAGGCCTGCCCTGTTGAACTTTTTGTGGTCGAAGGTATGAGGATGCACAGCACTTCCAAGTTCTTTTTAATTTAAGCCTGAGATACTCAGTGATCAATACCATAAACATCTCGAATAGTAATGAGAACCTCGGGCATGGTTTTTCAACAGTGAAAAGGTTAATAACTAGTAAGTCTAGAAAATGCTGTTTCCTAAGAAAGGGAAGTTCAATCTAAAGAAATGTGTTACTGGGGTTGCTTAAAATAAGTCAGCTCAGTGTTTAAAAAAAAAAATATATATATATATAAAATATATCCAAATTTATACAATACTTTTCAACATTAAGAACAAATTTGAATGATGTTCAAAGTCCACAAACAAAAGTGATCAGAAAACCAGTAAAAAATTTGAACCAACTAAAAATAGATACACATTAATCTATTTATGCGTTTTTATATAACACAAAGCTTCATGTCAGTTGTTAGTTTCATAATCAGTTAATGCTGTTATGGATATGTTACTTTATAATTAGATTCATACTTGTATACCAATTTCTGACCATACAATACAAACATAAAAAAGCACCCCTCTCCCCCAGCACATTAAAAAAAAGAAAGTTCCAATGATGTAATGAGGAAGCAGTACATCTACAGATCCCTCAGAAGAGACAAGTGAAAAGCTTACTATGATTTGATAAAAAGCAACAGAGAACTAGGTTAAGACTTTGTCTCATGTAAACACATGGTGGAGAATACAAAAAGAATAAAAATAAAGACAATCACAGGTTTCAAACTGTACTCACAGACACAGGTCTGGCCAGTATTCTCTTGATGGATCTGTACCTGTCGTATAACGGTCGCATCAGATCTTTTTCATCTCGTGTACACTGGAAAAAAAAGTGAAACGTACATCAAGATGCCAAACCAAATCGAACAGAGAACCAACATACAGGAAAGTGGAAGTTTTGTTTCAAAATAACTATGGCGATACACTGGTAAGTTGGGAAGATGGAGAGGGAAAAAAAGAGAATACTTAGGGTACACTGAGCATTGTGCAGTCTTAATTCTTGCACAAATGTGATAATAACTATAGCATAAACTGAGCTGATTGCTTTTGTTTGAGAAAAGAGGAGCGCACTGACACAACAAAGGTCATTTAGTGCTGGGCAAAACGCTTGTTTAGTTTTAGTAAGAGTATTATGGCGCTCACGACTACATAAGGTCATATGAGCACGTGTAAGAAGGAGCAAACAGCACCAGAGCACCCACCAACTAACCACCAAAGAAAAAATAAGACAGGAACAAAAGAAGAAAAGAAAAGTAAGAACTACCAGTGGCGCTCTTCAACCACTCAAGCATTAAACTGGCAAAGAACAAGTAGTTTCTCTACTCACAAGTCACTTTTCAGTTTTAGTAAGAGTTTTACGGCACTTGCAACACAATAAGGTCATATAAGTGCCGAAGACTACAGGCCTTACAAGAGAGTAACTAACATAAAAAAGGAGGAGAGACCAGGATAATATATGTTTGATAGGAAAGAAGGAGCAAAAAATCACTGACTGGGGGTAAAAAAGCAATAACCAAAGTTGCCCTGGGGGAGACAGGGTGTTCAAAAACTCTTATCGCCATTTACATGCATTAAAACAAATTGTACTATATACAAGTTGAGGATTTTGAGGGAAATGAAACAAGAGAAGACAACTGTTGTATAATTCATCTTTCTGTGGAAATCTAAAAAGAGGCAGACACACAGCAAGAGGTGCAAATCTTGAGAGCTTTAGGTAAACTGTATTAAATTTCTCAAATAGGAAGATTGCAAGTTGGAAAATAAAGTATGAGATGTGACTGTGTTCTCATTGTCCTTCTTATTCATATAATGCTCTAATGTTCATGGTCTGATGTGCATACCGTAATCCATTGTGCTGTGATAGTATGAACTTTTGCTTATGTGTTAACATTAATCTAAAGAGTGTATGTGTGCATGTTAACTAACTTGTGTTTTGTGTTGAATTGAAGGTACTGTAAAACGCCTAGTGGGGATTAGGTCCTATAGGAATTATCTCGATTATTATTAGTATCATTAAATTTTCGTTCACATTACAAGAATAATGAAAGTAGTGTCAATTTGGCAGCAGGACTAGAAAAGTACAAGACATTTTGCTACTCAAATTAAGTAACTTGACTGCTGAAGACAGAAACAACTTGATAAACACACCAAAGACAGCAATCACTGGGACTGTGCTAATTTGTTTTTGTAAAAGTTTTACAGCAGTTGCAACACCATAATGTCATATAAGTGCCAAAGATTAGAGGTGTCACAAGAGACTAACAAACATAAAAAAAGGAGAGATAAGGACAATAGATGTTTGATAGGAAAGAAAGAGCAAACCACACCAGATCACCCGCCAACCAACCACTGTGTTCTAGTTCAAACGTGCACTCACCGGCCTCCCATGCAGTCCCTCAAAGTGCAGCAAAGCTCTCTGTACGGCCAACTTCTCGTCATGCACTTGTTCTCTCGACATCAGCTGATGGGTCAAGCAAAAAACACAAAACAGTTAAAGCTGCATTCAATAATGACATAAAGAAGGCAATAGCTACAACTGGAGTGCCTTAAATAGGGAAGAAATCTCCCAACACGAAACTCATTTTTTCTAAAGGTACAGTCAAAGATAATACAAGGCTTTGTTCGTTTGCTTAAGTAAAGAGAAGCACATTGACACAACCATGATCATTTAGTTCTGGGAAAAGGTCTGACAGAAACAACAGAGGGAAAGTAAAGAAGTAGGACCGACCAGTGGCCCCCTCCAACCTCCCACTAACAAGGCTTTGCAAAGCTGAATGCCTCAAGGAAGAATGAAAATAAAAAGGGAAACTGGTTACTGTAATTGTATGGCTTTAATGCCTCATTCCACACAGTTCAGTCATTCAAGAGGTAGGACTGCCAAATTTATCATCCATCTCTAACAGGCCTGAGCCAGGTGAGGGGTGGAGAACCTTGTAACCTCCTACAAACCCAAGTTCGAGAACAACCTTTTGGAGATTCAAACTGCAGTCACCCATATCATAACCCTGTACAATACCAGCTGAGCTAACGGTGTGCCTTCCTGCTGGTGAAAGAACACACAACAGCAAGTATTTATGCCTCATATAAACATTTTTTTTTTGTTGCAAAATGACAGATGATCTTAAAGCATGATTCAGCTATGCCTGGACAGTACATTATGGGGAAGTAAATTGCAAAAGGACTATTTCTCTCCCTTCAGACCTTGACTTCCTTCATATACTCAGACAGGAGAGACAGTGAAAACATTTACAACCCAGGAAGGGTATGTCTTTACTATTTTACAGGTGTGACCGATATTTTTCATGGTGGGGAAATGTTTCTAAATTTTGAATTTGGCCCAGGTGGCAGCCTAAAGGACTACTTTTTCATGACATAAACATCATCCAGAACCAAACAGTGTCTTACCAAAACCTCCTCAGGCCTTCCAGAATCTCTCCGCTTCTCCTTCAAACATTTCAGGATAAACTCCAGTGTGTTGGACACGGACGGTGTGGCTGGTGGGGATAGCTCCACACCTGATGACGAAGCCCCGCTGTTGTGTCGAGACCGGTTTCCTTTTTCTGTGTCTTCCTTTAAGCCTGTGGTAAAGATAAGAGCAATGCATTCAGTTTCAAATTTTAGCAAGCGTTTGACGACATTTGCATCGCAATTACGTCATACAAGTGCCAATGATTAGAAGTGTTACTTGAGAGTAACTTACAAAGAATAAAAGGAGAAGAGATAAGGATGGCAGATGTTTGGTTGGACAGAAGGAGCAAACCACATCAGAGCACCCCCTGCCCACTGACTGGGATAACTCTATGTACTATACTCAAGTTAAATTACTATGCTCATGAAGCACATATTCAGTAACCTGCTCCTGTTCCCATCTCTGTCACGGCTGAATAAAGGAACTTGGACATCGGTTGGTGTCCAAACACACATGACATCAGTCTTGTGCATTATATCTCTAAAACTAGAGTTTGTGTCTGTCACAACACAAAACATTTGAGGAAGTCACGATGCCTTGTAAAATTGAAAGACAAAAAGTGCAGCTACAAAGAGATTACTCAGACAGTCCAGGCAGCATAAAGAGGATGATGGTAAACAGAACTACGACTATCACTTACGTTACCATCAAACTAGTTTGAGAATGTCCCACAAATTGTACACTCAAGATAAAATCTGAACTTTTACTTTCCAATGTTGCACTCAGATTCTGTCGACAGACATAATAAAATAGAGGGATGTTGGCAAAGGAAAAGTGTCATCAACTTACGTTTCAAGTCTTTTCTTGCTTTTGACAATTCATTCATGTATTTCTTTATGTCTGGCTGGGCAGCTTTTTCCCCTTGAGACGGCTGATGAGAGAAATGGAGAAAATACATTTACAGCCAAAACAACGAGACAGCTTCACTATATACTTGAAAGTAAATGAGCAAGCACACCTTCTTTGAACTTTCAAGAAAAAAAAAATTTTTTTAACCAAAGCAGAAAATATATAATAAAACATTTCCATTTCCATCTCTAGGCCTCACATCTGAAGTTTCAGAAAACATCTCAGTTCGTTAGTTACACTAACCAAAGATAAAAGGGCAAAAATTGAACAAACAGAGGGCAACAACTGAAAATACTTCACATATCTTAAAAACCATGAGCTGGTACATACCCTGTATCCATGATCCTTTTCGAAACCTTCTTCAAAGTGCTTAATTTTCTTTTTCAAGCCTGAAATATCAAAAGGAAATATCAAAATAACAATGAATAGCAACATACTACAAGGAAACAAGAATATAGGCTTTTGAAAATTACAGTCGATGTTTCTCCCACATAAAGATGGCTTCACGGCTTGAAAATGCAAACCTTACATTTGAGTTTATTTAGGAAATATCAGCCTGTTCTTCTTCTTCGTTATGCAGCAGCCTTAAAGCGTGTGCCCTTCAGCCCAATGCAGTGTTTAAAAAAGTGGTGGGCTTCCACATTTGTTCTTTGCTGCAATAGAGTAGAGTATATTGTCTGAGACAGGGACGGGAGGAAGAAGTTGCTGTCGGAGACAGTTTGGGACATTTGAAGACCAGATGTTGGACTGTTTGGTAAACATGGTCACAAAGCAAATTCATTGATGGGTTTCCGGTGTCGATTCTGTTCAGGTGGTAGTTTACAGGTATGTACTTACCTTGTATTTTCTTGGTGAGTTGACGGAGGCGATGGCTGCAGTCATCATCACTGTACAAAATATAAAAGAAAAGGTACATTTCCTTAACTTCTGTAACATCACAAAGATGATCAAAGGACACTCACTGACTCATAATAACAGCTGATACAGTTCCAGATTTGCACACTAGGACGTAGTACGAAAGGGAGCTTTAAAAGAATCTTATGCAAAATCTCCCAGAATAAACACAGAAGCAAGCCATTTTTTATTTATACTCATCTAATTAAACACAAACCCTAAAGTAACAATAAAGACATTTTTCAACAAATATTTTTTCCCAACAGTAGGCTACACGAACTTAGGGTTGATACCTGCTATAAAAAATTGAAATAAAGACTTTTATTTACCCTTATGGGGGCAAAAGAATAAAAAGAGGTAAGAAGGGTAGAAATAGCAACGACAAAAAAAACCCCTACAAACTTGCCCCCCTTTACCTTTTTAAGGCCCTTTAGAGAGAAAAAAAGCTTCCCCTAAAAAAATATCTCAGTATGTTAAAGTGACAACCAAAAGGAAAAAAACCACAACACACCTGTGTTTCTTGTACAAGTCTTGATGCACTGGCGGAGATGGTGGGATGTCTGTGTTCACCGAGGCCCTGCACAAGACAAACCAACACTTTGCATGAGCATCTTTTCGAAACAGAAACAAAAATTCCTACCAATATCAACACTCACTGCAAATTTGTACAATTTAAAAACATCATAAAGTAGCTTATTGGAATTTTCATATAGAAATGTCTTATCTTAAAATGAGAGAGAGAGAGAGAGAGAGAGAGAGAGAGAGAGAGAGAGAGAGAGAGAGAGAGAGAGAGAGAGAGAGAGAGAGGAGAGAGAGGAGTGAGAGGAGAGAGAGAGAGAGAGAGAGAGAGAGAGAGAGAGAGAGAGAGAGAGAGAGAGAGAGAGAGAGAGAGCTGACACACCCACACTCCACACTAAGACAAATGTGAGGCCCGGGGGAAATCAGTCGGATGTTGCTAGTCCTGGATCTGACATGTCATCCAACAGTGAGAAAATATATATTTTTGATGAAAAATGAGTGCTATACTTTATGAAAAACTTCACAATCCTATCTATATATTCTGAAAAAATAATATTCTTGAAAAGCAACTACAAATGTGTGTTTATAGAAGATTTTTTAACATCATCCGTGTTGCAGACAAAGTCCCACCTTCAAACTCAGATTTTTCCGAAATCCCAGGGGGGTGACTAACTCAAAATGCTATATCTCAGCTTATTATTAACATATTTCAAATCAGTACATGCTTAATTTACCCAGGAGATAACATACTTTATGAAAATGTGATTTGTCCATGCTTTTATTTTTGCCATGAGCGACTGATTTTCCCATGGTGCCTCACAAATATCCAACTTCAAGCCACTTTGTGAGACTGAAAGGTCAGCAACTAACACATTAGCGGACAGAAATAAATTTATTTTTAAAAACAACAACAAACAAGAAAGAAAGCACATTCCCACTGTCATCAGTCTCCACACTCGTAGGCATTTGTTCATTCAGTTATTAGATACAACTTGAAGAGGAACATCACTTATTTCCACTGACATCTGATTTCAACAGAAGAAACCTACTACGATCAACAAAGCTTCAGTAATAAATTTAGAAATGGTAGTGCAAGGCAATCTAACAGTAGAAGATATAAAACGCTCATGCAGAAAGCATAAAACCTTCTCAACATAAAACAAAAAATCATACATTAAACAAAAAAACTATTATGCAAAAAATAGTGAATAACAATGGGCATGCTAACTGTGGCAGAGGACCATATACAATCATGAGACAGGCAGCTCTTGTCCCTTTGTTCCTTCCAACACGAGACCACTAAGGGGAATAATTCAACAACATCGGCACATCATATTTTTCACAACCACAGGGAGGGTCCCTAGCATTGTAAAAAACAGCTGTGGAATCTCTCTGATAATCCATGGTCTTTGCTCAGACTAACAGCACCCAAAATGCAAATAAAACCAACTTTAAAAAATAATAATAAAACTTCAACTTAGATATATAAGCAGCAAATGGTTAACTGTCAAAATCTAATGAAAAAGAAGACGTCATGCATTGGGCTTGAGGATTTTTTCCCCAAAAAGATTGAAGTTAATTCCGACACATGATACGGAGGTGCAACCTGGATGGCTACATTCAGAAAAAAATAACTACCGAGAAGTGAAATACAATGAGTGAAAAATACAACTAGGGATGCAAAAATAAAAACAAATATCTACACATCTGCACAACATGTACCAGAACATGCCCATGGAAAAAGAGTCATATAGTACCTCAAAACTGACCTATTTCGTACCCCGAGCTACAAAGATCACTTTGCCAAGATTAAGCTACATTCCATGAACCATTCCACTTGCCCCAACATTTTCAGCACCATGTCGGTGTCGCAATAAATCCACTTAAGTCTAAATTTTTTTAACTTTTCAATTTTTACACCCTCCCAAAGCTCTACCAAAGATGCACCTTTCAACATCACCAAAGTGTAATTTAAAGCTATGGTCAAGGCTTACAATACTCTTGTTTTCATGATTCCTGATAGAAACAGTAACAAAAAAAACAACCTTTTTTTTTTGTCTCTAGCGTAAAAAGCACCCAAACTGACTTAAATGGATTGCTAGTGACAACAATGACTAGTGTGCTCTGACCACTCATGACTTTGATAACGCTGACTGCTAGTTGACTGAAGACATCTTTTTAAATCAAAAGGATTGCATCAAGACTTGGAACAGATTTATTTATTTTTTTCCCTTTCTACAACTGATGGTGTGCTTTTGAGTGAAACATTTGTTTATCAGGAGTGCTAATTTAGTTTTCATTTCATAGTAGCTGCCAAGGCGACAATCAATTCACAAATTAATGGAAAGTAAGTACAATTATTCAAGTGATTTTATGTAACATGAGGGTACGTGAAAGGGAAAAAAGCATGGGATGTGACTCATTTTCGTATAATAGAATAGTTCAAAGTTTTTAATGATCCTCTCAGAAGTGCTGGAAAACTAAAAGATAAATGTAGGCAAACATTCGTGACACTGGAAGAATTGGAAACACAAAATAAATAAGCTTTAAACAGTTCATCCAGAGGCTAATCACAACAGAGGCCAAACAACTCTGAGAGACTGAAAAGGAAAAACAGGCATGTGAGTGTGCACCTATTGCCCTCAGTGTCTGGAGGACTTTGAATAAACGGAGCAACAAGTACAAACAACGCCTATTGGAAGAGTTCACAAAAAAGTACTGGTGTCGCTTTGTACCAGCTACTTGTCTTGTTAGTCAGAGAGGAGGAAGATTTGCCTTAAATCCAACAAATAACTTGCTAAAGAAAGCTGTCGAAGACAGACAAAAAAAAAAAAAGAAAAGAAAAGAAAAGATGGTAATAATTCGATGGTGAATCAAGCAAGGATTAGTAGTCAGGATTAGTCACTCCACAGGGATCATGCACAGCAAACACCAAAACATGTTGAAAAAATACAGCAAAAGTTCCCTGGTGAAGTGAGAGTGACAAAAATAAAGGGTAAAAAAACCCCCAAAAAAACATGAAACCCCATAAAACATGCTCTTAGGACTACGCACACAGGCGTGTGCAAGCAACTGAAGCAAAGCAGCAAAACTAAGGAGGTAATATGTCCAGTAAGTCTAATCAAGACTTTGGTATTGCTTTGAGTCAAAGGATCACTGGCTTAAAATTTGATCAGATTCCCTTGATCTGAGAACTGAAGAATTCCTAATCACTCGTCAAAATAAGAAAGGTGAAACACCTACTTAACACTAATTTCCAATCAAGCTTTTGAATTTTCAGCATAATGAAAATGATTAATTACAAGGAAGAAGAACTGACCTAAACATTTTTGTTGTTATTACAGTGTGGCAAAAAGCTTTCGTACAACAAACATTATGAAAACAACAATTCACATGATATAAATCCTGTAAATCAAAGCATCTTTCAAGACTGCAGTGATCCTCGACTCCTTCATACAAACAGCACTTAAGTTACAACAGCTTCCTACTGTCAGTACAAGTTGGTGGTCTGAGTAACATGAGTAACAAATGAACAAAGACATGGGAAACATTATCAAGACAGAAGTGGAACCTACCAAAGCACCTCCAAGCGCCCTACACATCACGGTAAATATAGCTCAACCAATTAATATGAGGATGAACATAAGCTTACCACTCCCACTCAAGTGTTTCAGAAAATATACCCCGGTGCTCTTGAAACTATCAAATAAAAAGGTGCTTTGGGAATAGAATATAGAATCTAGTTTCAGTTTGGACAAGAAGGTCATATAAATATGGTGAAAAGAATCACCTGAAATAGCTACTGCTACCAAAAGCAGCACTAGGCGACATGGGAGCCTCCATGACGACAGAGTCAGCCTCCACAGTCAATTCTGTATCCCAACCGCTTCAAAGTCAGAGGAAAATGTCAAATGTGATACAAGTATTAAATATGTTTTCGTTTAACCAACAGTTAATCTTTGACACCATCGAACAAAAGGCACTGTAATTAATCTATTACGAAACAGGTCTCTCATCCATTCACAATTTACCACTCATAAAGCACACCTGAGACTCCATGCATTCACGTGAGATCAAGCATTCTAGAATTTTGTAAGGTAAACATTTAACATCTCTTACGATCAAATAAAACAAGACCCAATTTTTATACAAAAGTACATTTTGCAAATCTTTCAACTTTGAAGGGTGTTTCAGTTTTCATCCAAAATATATTATCAGGTTTACGGACAGAGTAATAGAGAAGCAGAAACAGGTCTTACACAGTTCATCCACAGGGGGAAAGGTTGCTTCCATTATAATTATTAATTATGTGTGATTTACACAACAATGGGAGTTAGTCGCAAGTGCTGCAAGTGTAAAAGCTCATGGGAAAGGAAGTAAAAAGGGTCTCTCTGTCTCTCATCGAGACAAAATTTATCATTGATTCATCATTCCCCCTCCCCCCACAAACACACACAAATAAACCTTGGTGGCAAAAAAAACTCTGAACGTACTTTGTTTTCTTTATATCCGATGAAAACTAAAAGCTGTTCTATTTAGATGAAAACTTTGACTCAGTCACAGCTCTCAAATGATAGCCAGTTCCTTACACTCCCCAGAAGCATGACGAAAATTAATGTTACATTCGAACAACTAATTCCCAGAACATCCAAAATGATATAAACAACAGATGAGATTATGAGCAGGCAAAATTACATAGAAAACATAGTTCAACTGGTCAGTCAAACAGCTTTACAGGAAGTGTTCTAGAATCTGCTGGGGTTATAATATAAACTGTAAAGAGTACGCAGTTCAGGGGGAATATGCACTATATCAATGTTATTTATTTTATTATCATTAAAAATATTAAATGCTTTGTTCAGATCTGCCATAGGATATATCGTCTTAACATTTTTCTGAAAGCAAACAAATATATCTACATCAGAAGAAGATTCATGATAAAACCTTTCGAGCAAAATGTGAAGCCACAGCACAGATTGTTAAGGTAAACATAGTCGTTATGCAAACATACAAAAAACAGTTGACACTCATTCTTGCTTTTTCATGTTTCAACTCGGAGTATTAAAGGTACAGCTTCAAAGGCAAAATACTTAAAACTTTTACGCATGCGAACAAGGAATGCAATAGTTCACTAACAAAGCCTTTCAGCTGGCCTGGCACGTTTGGCGTCTCCAAATTTCAGCTAAAAGAACAGATGCAACACAGAGATAACAAGTTTCCTATTTCTGAAAGAGCACTAAACACCACAGTCAAGAGAGAGAACATACAGAATATCTATCTCTAAAACATGGAAATGCAAAGCGCACATATAACAAAGAAAAGAAAGAAATATTTAGAAAGAAAGTTTAAAGTGCAAATTTATCCTGAGACCAATCATAAATGCGCAAAGGCAGGGAAGGGAAGAGGGCGCAGAAATGAAAATGCACTTATATTTCATTTTCAGCTTACCCATTTCTCTTTTTCAGTTTGTTTGATCTTGGAGAAATGACAGCCACGTTGTCTCCTTCAGTGGCTCCCAGCTGATTGTTGGTCATCCACTTTTGAGGATCTAACTGACCCTTGGTCACTGGGATTGGCTCTGAAAGTATAAGTAAGGGTAAGCGTTTAATCCCTTAACACTTTTAGGTTATTTAAGAGGCGGGACCTCCTCAACTCTGATAGGACCGAGCCAAATGGGTTCAGAGTGCTGCAAACTCTACAAAATAACCCAAGTTCAATCCAGTCTAAGATTCAAACCAGGGCCATCTGCTCCATAATCCAGCATAATACCAACTGAGCTAACCCTGAAAGAATGATGACAGACATGCAGGCAAATAGTCGGGAGTGCAGTAATTATTTCTCCCTTAAATCTATTTAATAATAATAATAACAGATAATAGATTGCATTTATATAGCTCTCTATCCCATACTAGTATAAGCCCTGAGCTGCCTTCCTACATTTTACTTTGTTATCCACCTAAAAGCAAAAGTTTTAGTTCTACTAAGAGTTTTAAGACACTTGTAACACAAATGCGTCACATAAGTGTTGAAGATTGGAGGTGTTACAGAAAGTAACACACACAAAAAAAGGAGAGATTGAAAGACACAACATTTAAGGGAGGAATAAATGCGCTACTTTTTAAAATGATTCTTTCTCTTATTCATACCTAACTACTGAGCCACAATATCCAACCTAGATCAACTTTCAACAACTGGGAGGAACAAGAAGATAAAACCAAGGACTCAAGTAAAGAGATCCTTTTCAAGCCAGTGGGCAAACCAATTTCTTTAACATTTCATTTGTTCAGGAAAGAGATCAGGTTGCTGAAGCATTAACAACTAACGGCCCTAGAGAGTGAACAAGAGCCACTGTAAGTCAATCAAAATAATTCATTATCTCCTCTCCTAGATCAAATCACTCCCTGGAAAGTATAAATTTGAAACCAGTAAGACAAAAGTAGGAAAGTCTTACTGGCTCCAGCTACATGCTCATGACATGAGCCACAGCAAGTCAAATAAAATTATTCCGTTTTTGCTCTCCAGAGCGAAAACAATCAGGAAATTTTAAAAAATAATAGTAATAATGTATGCAACCCATGAAATAGACAAATTTCCTAGTGTTCTAGGGTATGCTGGTGTAAATTTAATGTAGAATGTAAAGTGCATAGAGATGGCTGTAGAGAGAGGATATGTGCTATACAAATGCTATTTATTTTTCAATACTATTATTATTGATAAACAGCAAAAGTTCCCCCTCAACAGTAAACCCTATGTATTTTACACTCTATTTTGATAGTTTAGTAAGCGTTTTACGGTGCTCGCAACTGCATAAGGTCATATGAGCCCGCGAAAGACAAGTTGGTTGTATTCACGACAGTTCTTAGCATGGCTTCATTTTGGTCAATGATCTGATTAAATGTTAAAAATTCATGGTAAAAACCTCAATGTAAAAATGAAAATGTACATATAAAAAAATCAGATTTATGTTGGGATCAAAGTCGGACAACAAATCCTTTAATTTAGAACATTTTAAATACTTTCTTCGGGTCTCTCCAAAATCAGGGTATTCTGTTAAGATGTGTCTAATGGTGAAATCTGTGTCGCATCTGACACAGAACTTACAATCTATAAATTTGATGAAAGTAACAACAAAAAAAGTAGGCCTGTCTTCCTTACCGGCACCGTCCACGTGCTCATGCAGGGTGGTCAGGTCCAGCGGAGGGATAAACAGCTTGATGCCGTTAGAAGGTGACTTATCAACCAGGCCTGTGGCTTCGTTTCCTTGTGGGGGGCTGCCAGCTCCGTCCCGGGCGCCCAAACCGTTGAGGACCAATGCCTGATTGTCATTTCTCCGCATACTCTTGGCCCTGATGGTCGGGCTGTCCAGGTTGTGGAGATCCTCCATGTCCCTGCCGTACTCCTCCATGCTGTTGTCCAGAGACAGGTGGTTGTTGGACGATCGGTTCCCAGAGTGCATCTGAAAATTTCCGTTGGAAACTAGAATGGCCGTCTCCGGGAGGGACTCGCTGTGCTCCGAGCTCTCCTCACTCTCCCAGCTGCGCCGATGTTTGCGACTGGGGGAGCGACGAGGTGGGCCTGAAGGTTTCTTGTGCTGTTGGTGGTGGCGGAGGTGGTGGTGTTCACATGCCAAGGAGGGAGAAGTAGCCAACCACAAGCAAGGGGATGGAGGGGGCATTGCATTGAAAAGGAAAGGGTAGGGGTGGGGGTGGGGGCGGGGGAGATACAGGTATGTTAGTGAGTGCCCATGCTGGTAGGTAATATGAGGCAAGCAAAAAGCAGTCAAACATAGCAAGAATACTGTAGTCCCTAAATTTAATACTTGTATTAACTCACCGCCTACTCAGGCCACATATGCTGCGGCCAAAGTTCTGCTTCACCTGCCCACCTTTGCCGCAGCCATTATGGTTTCAGAGTTTGAATTAGCCTTATGAAATTATTACTGTGGCTATATTCGTAACTCTTTCTCATTAAGTCATATTGCTGAGGGGGGTTTTTTGTTTGTTTTTAATGCGCATTGAAATAGGAGGTCCTCAGGAGAAAGTAATGTGAAATATGTTGGGTATGCAGGGAGTTCAATTTGGGATACTCTTCGAGTATAGGAATAAATACAGCCACACACAAACAACTGGTTGGTTCTCCTGCTTCCCTTACGATGGAGTTTACAGTTAACCAGAGTCAAAATAAAACTGTTCTGTACGCTACTTAACATTACCTATCTGGGCTGAGAGAAAAAGGCATTTTTAAATTAGAGGAAGAACTAACCATGTATTCCAAAATTGAAAGCTTGATTTTTCTTGAATAAATCGTCGGCCAGTTATTATGTTGAACTAAAATGAACTATTTCGGATTTCATTTTTTAATTTCTGTTTCTTATTCTGTGGTATCAGTTGCATGAGCTTAAGAAATATTTTGTTGCGATTCAAATTTTAAATGTTGATAAAAAAAAAGAAAAACAAAATAAACACAAAAAGAAAAAAGAAAGAAAGAAAAATAATGTCAGCACAATGGTTAAAAAAGTTTTTTCTCTCTCCTGAAAAATTGTGCTTTCTGGGCTTAGTACATTTCTAACAGATTGATGAAATCCATTACAACTAGCGAAGTGGTAAATACAGTCCAGTTGGTCTTAAGACCTTAACATAATTTTCAATGGAAATGTATGTATATATCACCTTTCTCTCTCTATATATATACCCACACATGGATTTGATAGATATATATAGAAAGGGTTCACTTCAAAGGTACAGTCCACTCAGACCCATACACCTAAAAGTTGAAAGTAATTAACAAAAAGTACCAGGAAAAAACTCATGATAGGAGTTCAAATATAAATATACCTTTCTTTTTTCAAACAAAATACTTATCAGAATTGCTACATCATCCTTCTGTTTACAGAACAATTTCAAATTTTTTCTTCAGCTCAATAGTGAGAGGGGTGCATACACAAGAACATATTGAAAGTCTGAGACAGAGAAGCGGGTCCTCAAAAGGGAGGCTCATGCAGTGTTGAACAAAGCAAAACAGTGGGAAAACACAGAAGAGCCAGACAGTTGATGGATATTCCTGCGGCATTCTCATGCCACCCATAGCATGCAGCCATCAGAGCAATGCTATCAGTTATCGTAAAGAAGGTCAAGCATCAATCCAAGCCAATCATACGGAAATTTGGGTAGCACAGCCACTTTGATTCGCATCCAAAGGAATGCTTTACCATGAATAGATCGGCTAAAGGAACATTTTTCAAGATGCATGCTTATCGTTCATGGCTATTATCTTGTTTTCCTTTCAGAAAAGTAAAACTTTAGTTGTCCTTGGCATTGCACAAATAACATTAAGATTTTTAAAAATTTTGACACAGGCACATATGTACACAAGACAGTACAGACAGATTATATTGGAGTAAAATAAAAAAAAGACGGATACATGAACAATTCAAACAAGCAAAAAGAATAATTATTTTCCGAATTCCACTTGTATAGAGTCAGTAGACATCGCATAATTAAATAAAGCTTATTGGGGCACATTTTAAACAGTAGATATGAGAGATACCTCTATTTAAGACAGAAAATATAGACTAGTGGAAAGTTTCCTACATAAACAGCTACTTCTTTCAATAGATAACAACTTTTATGTAAAAAGCCATCTGACTCTCTGATATGCTGACTACTTTGAAAGTAGACGAAAAATTATGCACGAATCCACTGGGAAGTCTAAAGGGATCTTGAGTCTCTTGTTAACAATAAAATAAAGTTGCGGATTAAATGTGGGTTGACATTTGGATACGGAATACAATAGCTATGAATCTTTTATAAAACAGCTATTATGCGGTTACAAATAGATTCATAAAGGTAATAGTTGCATACAAAAAAGTGTAAAAGAGTCTATGAAACTTCTTTGGAGTTAAAGCACACAGCATCGAGTCATCAGGTCTTCAATTCTTTTAATATTCGTTTTCATTTTCTTACAATAGACAAGCATATGTTCAAATATAACCAATAGCTCCATCTGTTTGAGTATAAGCATAACATTAGCATGTAAAACATGGGACTATACCAGCTAGAAATTATTTTATTATGATTTAAACAAATAGGGAGGACAGCTTGTAACATATCAACATAAGGCAGATAGCTAAGAAAATATGGCTGGGTCATTTCCAGGAGAATCTTAGAGAATTTTTTTTTACTTCCCCAAATAAAAAATACCTGCAACTGCCAAAACAAGCTGCTCCATGCTGGAGCATGTGAGTGACAGACATTCGGCATAATTGATAGGCAATTTAGAAATCAGAGACATCTGTAGTCTGCTTCAGGCTTAACTTAGTCCTGTGAAAAGACATTCCATATTGGAATGTGTAGTGAAATAATTAGGCTTTTCGCCTTTGATCATACCAAAGATACTCACCCCAGTCAGCATGTCACTTCTTTCAATTTTGTCAAAGTCTCGTCTGAAAAAAGAATAAAACGAAAGAAAAACAGATTTTACTCAATTCTATTGCACCAAGCACTGTACTTATCGTAAAACAGAAGACTAAATTAATTAATTTTTTTATAGTATAGGGTCTTACGGCGCTCGCAACTGCATAAGGTCATATGAGCGCCAAGGGGTGGGTGTCAACAGAGAAGTCTTTATAGGGAATCACACTTAGACTGCTCACCTCTCTAGCTTAAACAGCACAAGGTCTGCTTCGAATATCAAGGCACCCCCGGAAATAGCAGGTCACAAGAGAGTGACAAACATACAAAAGAAGTAGAGGAAAATGACAATAGTAAGGATCAGGAAAGAAAAAGCAGCAGTTCTCTGTTGTAGATCAGGCACAGTTATGAGCGTGACATGAGTCAGCCCATTTACAATTCTACTATGCTTGAACGAGAAATGTCCCCCCCTTTGGGTATGGCCTAAAGACACTACAGTCAGTGGCACTGCCCCCAGGGGGGGGGGGGGGGGGGGGGGGTGAAGACTAAAAAGAGATAAATAATTTTTTTCAAATGAAACTAGATCAACTGAAAGCTGTCTTACAGTTTTTAAAAATGTTGTTTTTAGTTACTTTGAACAAATTCAGTTCTGGAGTACTCGAGTATGAATGGCTTGTGATGACTCTGATTAACAAAAACTGAATCTGGTCAATAATGCTTGCACCTATAGGATTATGTAATCAAAATAGTGTATCAGAGACTATGCTTAAAATGAAAAACAATTTTCTGTGAGTTACATAAGTAAACTAGAATATAACCAAATGGAAAAGCAGTAGATATAGTTCTCTGTTCATCTACACATATCTATATGATCTACAGTGGATCTTCAAATTAAGAGAAGACATAACACTTTTATTTTTTATTTTAAATAATAATCAATACTAAAGATCACTTCTATCTATAGCACCCAATCCCTGGTGGCTCTCGGTGCTTCACAATACAATAAAACATGCACAGACTATCGAAACATTAACACAAAACAAAAAAATTTTCACACAAAGGAACATCATAGCAATACTCACAACACTTTTCCTTGATATCCATCCTGAGCAAAAAGATAAGAAAAAAGAATTTAGTTGACACATACAAAAAATTAAAGCATGAAAAATATTACGGCAATACAGGGGAATCATACTGTGTGCCTCATAAAACAGCTGTCACCTGGCATGAACATACAGTCATCCCTGTCACAAGTACAAAGCGTAAATACAAGTTTTTTTCTTCCTCACCCTGTAAGGCACACAAGTTGGGAGTTCATGATTTTTCTGGTGACAGAAACTGTATCTATGAAGCAGCCTCATGAAAAGAATAAACAAATTCCCCCTTTTAATCAAAAACATATTTTGCACTTTCAGGGAAAACCAGATACAAAGATCTCTCAAATTTCAAGAGAACAAATCCACAAACCATAAAACATAATTACCTCAAATTGAAACAATAAAATACCAATATTCATTTTTTTAAATATTCAGTATGAAATACAGTCGAATTTGCTTTAATTAATGGGCACCTGTCCAAGACAATCACATATACAAATGCCCACTTTCCAACTGGCGTCTTTTTACATTATAGATGACACTGTCCAAGACGCACACCTGCCTAAGACAACCACTTTTCTCCTGGACAAAATCAACTGTAGTTTTTGCAACTCACCTCTGGGTGCTGACTAGAATGCGCGGCTGAAGAACTTGGGCCTGGTCTCGACATCATGCTGGTCCTTGGCTTGACCACTGGGTGATCCACGGAAGTTCTGATGAAAAAATTTGTTAAAAAATTGATTACAGGGAAAAGAAAGAGAGAAGTCTAGGTACAGTCTAGCAGGCACACAGCTAAATCAGCAGGACACACACCTCTTTTCGTTATATACAAATTTGCTAAGAATGTGTTTTAAATATAAAGAAAATACATCTATATGAATAAATTCAGGACTTGAAAATCTGTTGCGTAATCTCAATAAATGCAGATCTGACCTGCGAACAACCAATATACATCAAAGAGACAATACTTCGGTAAAGTCAAAATTAGAAGTTGATTGCAATCACAGCAACTGTTGGATCAACAGTTTTATATCCATGCATATACTATACTCTGTAAGAAGACATACGGACAAAATGGGTACAAACAGTTCTTAATGAACTAGGTCAATGGTTTCTAAATACCGTTCCTCTAAAAACTTACCCATCTGTAAAATCAATTGCATCTACAGCAGCCTTTTGGGGTGATCTTGGAGCTGGCAAAAGAATAGACATTATCTTTTTTCAGACAACTTCCGAGTATAAAAATGGAGAACCTAAAAAAAGTGATTCACTCATGTGTGCAAAAGTCAAGACTGGCACTATACAAGACGCATTTAATCACATATTTTTCCGTCAGTACACAAAAATCAATCATTGTTATTAGATAGAATAAAACTTGCAATGACACAAGAGAACAAATCTTACACCCCAGTTGTAGATACAAAATAACTGCAGTTGTAAAACTTCAAACATAACTAGGACGTAGGTTTGAAAAACCATAGCAACCAAAAACTTTTATGAATAGCATACGGAAAAACAGAACATCAACACAAACAGCAACAAGCTCCATGTTCTCTTGGTCTGGAAAATACAAAAGGCCCCGTGTTCACCTATATACACAAAAATGCCCATAAAACATAACAGACACAACTGTGGATAGATACATACTATGAGGCCCTGAACTCTGGTTGAAATCCATTCCTCCGAAAATGTGTTCTGATATAGTTTCAACGATGGTCTTCTCAACAAATCTGAAAGAAAAGAAATTGATGGACATTTATTCGAGTTACAAGAGCGCATGACTTGATTCAGCACAACAGAACAATTAAACATATGTCTTTAAAAAGTACAATTTCTTTTATTACCCTTGCTCTTGGATTAAAATCATAAATTCTTTCCCCATAACTCTTCTCCATTAGTTTTTTTAGAAACAAATATTAATGTCACAGACAAAAGCTATGGACAGTAAACACATTTCTTTGAAAACATAGCAACCGACAGAACGTGTAACCCTCCTATATAAGCTGTCATTGTTCAATATTTTCAAAAAGTCCTTTCAGAATATTATGACTATGACCCTCACACTGATAAAAAATACAACGAACTTCTTACCTTTATGTTAGCTATGCCACCTCTATCAAAGGTTTGATAAGAATTATTTAACTCTAAGAACATCTGGTCAGCGTTTAAACATCAACACAAAACAGCACTGGCAAAATCCAAGCCCATTAAAACAACACTCTAAATTCAAAAGCAAAAGAACTCAGGCGAATTATTTCTCAACTCAAATCAGTTGAAATCACATTCTTTTGCTTATATGTCACCACACAATCTAATGACCAGTGACATGAGACAGTTGACAGGAAACTCTACACGTATGAATAATTAAGCAAATTCCAATCTCAGATCATTTAAATAGAAGTGAATACCACTCATAAAAGGCCATAAAGCCTATATGACTAGAAAGTGACAGCATAAATTATGGACGTCTCAAAGCTTGACAAAATCTCTCGATCCCCTGGGAACAGATGGTGTGACTCACAAACCAGGACCAGAAGCTTGGCCTAATCATGTTAATCTTTTAAGATGACAAACCTTTATATTAAAAGAGATAGTCAGAACACAATGTACTGTTTATGTGTTGCTACTTGCATTTGTTAAGCGCCCCGAGCCTGGGTCCTTTGCCATATATAAATGTCATTTTAATTATCATTATTATTTCATGGCTAAAACAGCACCTGTACATGGATAGCTGGTGCCTTTATAAATAAATAATTGATGATCATTATTATTTCATATTTAATTATCATTATTATTATTTCATATCAAGGAGAGTTCAGTTTCAGTTTTAGTAAGAGTTTTACGGCACTTGCAACACAATAAACGGAGAGTTCAATCTCTAGACAAAGAAATAAGATTTGGCACTTACTCATTCGTCCTCGCTGTGATCATCGGAGATTCTATGATGCTATGAGTTTCACTGTTTAGAAAAAAAAAATGATATCACCATTTATGAATCATTACAAGTAGTCACTACTGTTATCAGACCTCTGCTTAAAGTGACTGAACAGCAGTATGAAGATGGAGGGACGAGAGGGGGGAGAAGAGAGGGAGGAGAAGAGAGGGAGAGAGAGAGAGTGTGTGTGTGTGCGCATGTGCCCGTGTGCGCGTCTCAAACAAAAACAAATTCACTAAACTGATTAAAAATATAAATGCACAAAGAGAAAAAAACTGTTGTTTGTACTGACAAAGTAAGGGTAACAGTTTTCACAACAGACATTTGCCATTTGCTCGAAATGTGGAGAACACAACACCTGTAAACTACAACACAAGAGCCACAGCTCAGCGTAGCACAGCAACATACCTTTCCAAAGCAAAGGGAGAATGGGCTCTGCTGTGGTCAATATCCTCTCTAGGGCTGAACAAAGGAACAGAATTGTGCACGCCCAATGTTGGCGTCTGCCTGTCTTCTGACTCGGGGAGTGTGTTTACTTCATAAATGTTTTTTATCTGGAGAAGTACATCAGCAATTCATTACAAACTAAACTGAACAAGGTAACTCGCTTTTGTTAAACAAGTAGAACATTTCCATTCAGCACTTCAAACACTGTGGGTAAAATGAGGAGTGTAGGAAAAAAAATGTATTTCCACCATAAAAAGATAAATATAGTTACAGACCTACCAATCACTCAAAGACCGAAAACAGAATCAGATCAAGTTAAGAACAAGCCAAGTTCATAATAAAAATGCTGATAAAATCTATTAGACCAGTTTATTCTCTTATGTCTCATATTTTCTCATCGCTCCTTAACTCACTCACAGCCAGGCATTTCTGGGCAGGGTAACTGAGGAATGCCAGGTTTTCAGGACCATTTTCAAAACCTCTCTGTGAGCTTATTATTATGTGTTCAGCACTGAACTTTTCCACAAACAATTGCTTTGAAACATACTCAACAAATCCCAAACAAATTTTGTGATACCTTTACCGTGTGAAATTTTATGAGTTTGTGAATTATGGGGCAAAATCGAGAAAAAAAACTTTTATATAACATTTAGGTGCTTGGTACATTCAGTCGATATGCATGCCTTTATATCTTTGTCCCTGCAAGAAATAGATGTATTATCAACAGACATAAACTGACAAATGTTGAAGAGTCACTATGAAAAGAGATCTGACAAATTTTATATAACTGGAAAGTCATTCAGGTCATCAGTCTACCCATCCTGAGCATCAACATCAGGATGTGTGATTGCAGGATGGGGCATGGCCACTGGGGGAGGGGTGCCACTGTTTGAAGTTTGATGTGTAGACCTAGGAGGGTCTATGTCAACTGTAATCCTATCATTTGGGGTATAAATCTACGTTGTGTGATCTTTGACGTTTGCGTGACGGGCCTGAACTGGGATTGGGAAGCGCCGGATCATAGGTCTAAGCATGGGGTACACCTGATTCTAGTCTAGGCCTAGATCTAGCACAATTTTCATCTTCACTTGTGTTCGCACCTCTCCTATTTCCTTTCCTAAACTTATTATCAACTCTGCATGATGGTTCATCATCACTATCATCAGCAAAAAGATCTAAATCTGACCCTTTATTGACGAAGGGGTCCATCAATTCAAATGTTCTGACCTCATTGAGATGCCGTCACCATCGTGACTGAGCGTTAGTAGTTTTTAGTTCGTTTCGGGTGAGTTCGAATAAGTCCGATTTTAAAGTCACTTATTCAAGGGAAGTCACTGCAACAATGCAGAATTGAAGCTAAACTGGCTTATATCGCCTACTTCCGACTGCCAAGCCCGAAACACGTCCGGGAACGTTTGAAAAATAGAAGTAAGAACGCACCCGACGGGTTTCGGGTTGGGCAGGTAGCGGTCTACGCGGATCACCCGACAGGGTTTGGGCATGGCAGTGAGTGAGTTAAAAAAAGAAAAGGAATTCAAAACAAGTTAAGCTGCGGTCGGATCAATGTAACTAAGCCTGTTATTCCATTCATCCCTTCCTCCTACCTTCCTGGGCGAGGGCACAGGTCTGTAGTCTAACGAGGAGGATGACGCGGAGGAGGTCAAGGAGGCTGGGGTCATCTCAACTGACGACAGCGTACTGAACAATGGCAACGACTGCACTTTGGGCGGGGGTGGCCTAGGAGGGGGAGACTTTTTCGAGTTGCACGTCTCCTACAACAGGAAAGACAAAAATAAGACATCAATTATTTTTTTTTATCACATGAAATCTAAAATCTTCAGCCCATGAAATCCCAAAACCGTTGATACATTTGATAGTATTTTACAATAAGATTACAATAACAATAGCAATAATAGTAACAAAAATAACAATAACAATAACAACAACAACAACAAAAATAATAATAACTAATAATAATAACTAAGAAGAAGAAGAAGAAGAAGAAGACATTTATGTAGTGCTCAAACCTGAACAAAGAACTCGGGCCCTGAGCACTTTATTAGTATAAATAGCAAAACATAAACAGTAAACTGTGTTCTGATTTTTCAAGAATAAATAAAAATTTTCAGGACTTCTCAAGCCACGTGGATTTTTTTTTAAAACCCTCTAGAACACACATTCAGGTAAGAAGTAGACCAGTAAAAAAAATTAATGCTGCACTTCATCATCACTTTTCAAACTGGTTAGAAGCAAACATTCCACCCATCTATCACAAACACTGGTAACTGACTCCAAAGAAAGTACTTTCTTCACTGAACTCTATAGAAATATAGAAAAAAAAAATCTTCAACATCTCAACACAAGTCCTTTCGGATAGAGGAATGCAGAGAGAGGGTTGCTTTGCCTTTGCTTGAAAATCTCCCTGCAATAATAAATAATTAGTTAATAATCCCTGTAACAGCTCATGGAGATCAGCTGTTCTGATCCCCTCAGTCCGTGAGGGAAGACTTCACATAGTAAATCCTGGCCAGCTGTGACAACTTAAGCCTAACTTACCGTACCTGTTGCAAACATGATCATTGCCAAGTTCATGCATCAATGTTCCGCGATGAGTAAGACCCATAGCTTTTCCTTTCTGTTCAGACTTTGCAAATATGACCACAAAATTTTAGAGAGGGAAAAATTTTTAAAAGGTGGTAATTAAAGCCAGTTTGCTTTTATTTTAGTTCTCTTGAAATTGAAAAATTTGCCCTCTAACGAATAATTACTACCCCTTTTTTAATCAACATGCCCGGAATAGCAGCATACAATGACAATATGAAGAACAAGATACACAAACCTGACCTTTGTGAAGTAAAATTTTAATATTAAGCTATTCTTTTTTCAGAACACTTTAGCTTTACTTTGGCACTTCAAAAATCTCACAGCCATGAGTTAAGAAAAGATGACAAAACAGCAAGATTACCCAGAACATTTTGGGACTGAGATCTCCATCTTCCAGAAACAAAGTGTCATACTCTGTAATGAAGAGTTGCATGACATCCTTACTGGAATCCATGTCTCTCAAACCATCAACACCGGAGGTCAACTCATATCTGGAAAAACAAAACAGGGGGGAAAACAATTGAAAACTTTATGCAAGTAATCACCATAAATATACCAAATATAAAAACAAAAGCAGTTTCTTATCACATCAGCCAAAAATTACAATTCCTCGCCACAAAAAACTTCAAAATGTTCTTAGGTGACCCTTTTACAACAGCAACGTAATTCATATCCTTTCAATCAAACATTATTGGATATTCCACTTGGACATCAAATCTAGAAAAATTTGTTGTTTTTTTTCTCACACAAAATACATGGCATCAATAAACTCTCAAGCAACAAGAAACAAGTACAAAAATTGCCAGTACTCACTTGAATATATTGGGTCCAAACACAATTGCCAGCGCATATGAAGACATCTTATTCTCATCTTTATGTTCATCTACAACAACCAAGAGGGAACAGATGTATTTCAACACATTGTAGTTTTCTTCTGGCAGCATATTCAACGCCCTTTTGATCTCTGGCAGGATCAGTTCTGTATCCGTGGAAGATTCTGTGAGATAAGAGAAACGGTTTTTAGTTTAGTTAAAGTAAGTCTTACGGCACTTGCAACACAAATAGGTCATAGAAGTGCGAAAGATTAAAGATATTACTGCTAGAGAGTAACAAACAAAGAAAAGAAGAAGAGATAAGGATGATATGAAATAGTTGTATGATACGAAGAAGGAGCAAACCACATTAGAGCACCCACCAACTACCCAGAGTCAAAGGAAGATGAACTTATTGGTCATTTTACACACATAGCCCACTTAATTACATACTCGTCATACAGCACACATAACAACGACAGTTTTGGTTAAGTTTTATTGAGAGTTTTACTGCGCTACAACACAAATGGGTCACCTACATGCCGAAGATTAAGTGTAACTAGAGAGTACCATGCAAAGAAAAGAAGGAGGAGAGATAAGGACGATGGATGTTTGAAAGGAGTGAAGGAGCAAACCACATTAGAGCACCTGCAAACCACTACAGCAATATAAAATACTTCAAGGTCACACAACAATAACATCTTTGTGGAACTTCCTTCTTGTCATTTTGACCATGCAGGTAAACATTACTCATCCTTACTTTTGCTGATAACCCTGAAACTAGACACAACAACCACTGACTAAGACTTGATGACTTTCATCCTTCTTAAAGTCTAGTCTCAACTCATTGCTGACGGCCTACGAGAATATTCATATCAATGCAGCCACTTGATTATGAGAAAATCTGAATCCCTCTTGTCTCAATAAAACTTTCTTCAGTCCATTATTTCTAAGTTTTTAAAAAACTACTTAAGAGTTAGTGTTCTTGATTGCCGTAAGCTTATAGTCCACTACTTTTGTAGCTGTTTGGACGGAAAGCCATTGCAGTTTTAGCGTGGGCACCTAAATTTGTATGTGTGGCTGGAGGCAGCCAAGGTGGGTGTGTCTGCTCAGGGAGGCAACTCGGGTGGAAATGGGTTAATAAGTCTTCTGTCATTGTAAAATGTAAAAACAAATGTTACGAAATCTATGACGAACAGAAATTAGGCTACCATTCGCATCTCACTTTCAACAACTGATTCCATAAGCCAAGACTTCTTCCTTTCAACGTAACAAGACACCGAATCTGCACCTTTAAGACAAACTATGAGAGAAATAAGAAAGCTGTTTACATCTAGGAAGTGTCCCTGAACTTTTTTTAACCTCTGAACTCTCTAAATTATTCAAAAGCACTCACTGAGTTATGACTCCCCAAAACACCACAAGACAAATATATAAAAAGTCTTTCTCATTAACCAAAACGCCCCCCCCCCCTCCCGACCCCTACCCCCTAAATGAGGGGAGGGGTTTGGTAATAAATGACTGCTGGAGGTGATAATTACCCTTACACATCGACTGTACCTTTCTTCCCTTCTCACTTCCCTTTTCTAAACTCTATTCACTTGGCCAATAGTGCCTTCCAAATTACACGTTCAGAAAGGTTGTAACTTTTACAAACAACAACAAAACATTATTTTTTTTTAAATAAAGAATCGAAAACGATTAGTCAAAATTGTCCAAGACAGCCACCCCATTATCAAGGAGGAAAAAGGTTGTCTTAGGAAGGTGGAGTCTTCTACAGTATCATTATATTGTAAAAAAATGCAAGGGGGAAAGCGGGAAGAGGTCGTTTGAACAGGTAATTGTCTTGGACAGGCCACTGTCACGAGCAGGTTCGATGCTATTCCCAAAATAGGACTGACCTTGAACAATGGAGAAGAAGTGCTTGGTGAGACCGGCAGGAACAAGGGTGTCCGGGAGATCTCGGAGGAACACCCTCAGCAAGCCCGCCACAGCTGCTGTGTCATTCTCCTCCTCAAAGTTCACGTCGCCCACCAGCTCAAACTGCATCCTCATCCTCTCCACGATCCGAACATTCCCACTCACTCGGAAAAGTCCCACATTGTCCAAACCTGAAAAAAAGATCAGAAATAGAAGGATTAAATTTAGAAAGAAATTGGAAGCATTTTTTTAATGTGTACCTTTGGCGAAGGATTTTGTCGGTATGCTAGTGTTTTGGCACCTGTAAAATGGCAGCTTGCACTGTATGCTTCCCAGGAAGTCAAGATTATTTCAGAATGCTATCACGTCTGCTGAAGTACCAATACAGATTGTAAAAACCATACAGCTTGCTGTTGAGCGGGATTTTGCACTACACAAAAGCTATTAATCACTATCATTATTTCAAGTTTGATACATGTCCATTGCTGAGTGCAAGATTTCAACAACCTTCAAATTGCATCATGGTGTTTGTCTGAGCCTTACATCCAGACTTTGATATAAGTCATTTCAAAGACAGTCTCCCTGCACTCTGCAGAGCTGAGTATAGGGGAGGACACCACCATTCTATCAATTTATCAGTATGAAGACAAAAGTATTAAAAATTTTTAAAAGCCATCACTCTACCAGAGAGACTGTGGCACATGAAGTGCACCCAACTGTAGTGTGACTTTTCAAAACCAGAAAATAGATTCTACCTACACAACGGGTCAAGATGGTGGCCAGGCAATTGGCCGAGTAATCCCCGCTGAACCCTTCACATATTTTTTTTTTTTTTTTTTGCATTCAATAAAACCACCATGCTAAATATCTTACTGTGATAAGAGATACAGTTACAGTAGAGGAAGGCTTCATTCTCATTATTGATTGGCAACTCGCTCTTGAAAGTTTTCAAGTTTTCTTTAGCACTAGCAAGTCCATGAGGAGCAATACTAGAAAAGAGAGAACATTCATGTATTTTGTAACACGAAAACAGACTTCAATACTCAAGATACCATTTTTACCTACAGGTTGGCAGCTATGTGTCGTGGGAGTTGAACACCCCC